ATAAGCCTTATTAGGTTTACTCGTGAGATATTTCAGCTATTTTCCTCATAAGATGAGTGGGTGGGTAACAAATGCAAGCCTTGCTTCATGCTTAAAATACGTTTGATTTTTGGATTAATCCCAGAGTTGTCATGCCCATAAGCTAAATGGGTTTAAAAGAAGAAAAGGAAAAAAGAAAATGGGAGAGACACACACACACACACACACAAAGTGAGAGAGAGACACACACACACAAAGTTAGAGAGAGAGAGACACACACACACACAAAGTTAGAGAGAGGGAGAGACACACACACACAAAGTTAGAGAGAGAGAGACACACACACACACAAAGTTAGAGAGAGGGAGAGACACACACACACAAAGTTAGAGAGAGGGAGAGACACACACACACAAAGTTAGAGAGAGGGAGAGACACACACAAAGTTAGAGAGAGGGAGAGACACACACACACAAAGTTAGAGAGAGGGAGAGACACACACACACACAAAGTTAGAGAGAGGGAGAGACACACACAAAGTTAGAGAGAGGGAGAGACACACACAAAGTTAGAGAGACAGAGAGGAATACTTTCTTTTTTTAGGAATGTAGACTCTTAATCTTGGTTTGTCTGTCTATTAATGAAAGGCATATCTATTCCACAGCCAAGATTATTTTATCCCTATTTCATGGAATAAATATTTCATAAGATTTCAATCTCATGTATTGGCTTTCGTTCTATATCGTTGGAAACATTTTTGGCGATGTAGATTCGTTCTCAGGACAGACATTCCACATCAACTGTATACCAACACTTAAAATTCTAGCAAGCCTTACAAATATTTGACAGAGGAAAACCTGGTAAAATCTGATGCTGGAATTACATCTACAGGAGTTTTAGAGGCTAGAATTGCAGGACCCCTCCCCATCCCCCAAAACATAAAGAGAACACCTTAATATCACATCACTTGGAGATTAAGTAATTCTACAAATGAAAAGAGATGTGGGAAATAAGTTCTACAAGGACAAAAGTCTACAAGCCTTAACGGGTGGGGTAATGGTCATCTTACCTCGCCACTGTCATGTCTCCGAGGACAGAGAGAGTCCAGTTCATCAAAGAATATCACACAAGGGGCAGAATTTCTGGCTCTCTGGAAAACCTGGCGGACAGCTCTTTCACTCTCGCCAACATACTAAAACAGAAAAACAAAAATAAATATAATAAAAAGTGAAAAAGAAACAATAGAGAAATAAAAATGCAAGGTTGAATTGATTTTCCAAAATATCAATTCCTATTGGTTTATTTGATATCAATCATTCTCTTAGAATATTCGAGTCTGAATTAAAAACCAATTCACTCCAAGCAAGGCAACAATGCCACTAAGATGCAAGGGACTACTGGTAGTGAAAGAGAATGAGAAGACTTTAGAAGGCACCAGAAACCCAATCCTAAAAAGAAAACAAGGGATAAACCTCTACTCCTCTATTCACCCCAAGCAAGACGATAATGCCACTAAGATGCATGGGACTACTGGGACTGAAAGAGAATGAGAAGTCTTTAGAAGGAACCAGAAACCCAATCCTAAACAGGAAACAAGGGATAAACCTCTGTTCAAAAGACAGGAAAGAATCATATTTTGGCGACAGGTCAATATTGGTCAGTTATATTTGAATCTGTAAACATTTACTTGGATTGTGGTTTGGGGCGAGGTAATATTGTTTGTCTATATTTGAGGCTGTAAACATTCAGTGATTGTTTATATTTAAATCTGTATGTATTGAATCATTGATAGGTAAATGATGGTCATTGCCCTTTGACATTGTAACCTTAGAAAGCCTCCATAGTAGAGTTGAAGCTGAAGCTGACCTTAACAGATAACAACAATGTATGAAAGCTGGTTTTTAATCTTTACAATTGATTTTAAAAAGGATTTCTTAAATTTAAAAAAGAAATTAAAATTTGATCGATAAACTTACCATATTTAATAATTCTGGACCTTTGACTGATATGAAATTTATACCAGATTCATTTGCGATCGCCTAAAATAAAAAAAAAAAAAATAAAAAAAAAAGAGAGATAAAAATGAAGCCATATGATTTAAAAATGATACAACTCGATGAAATATTTGAAATATTTCAAGTAAGATTTGAAATAAAGTTTGAAATAAAGTTCAAAATAAAAATTTAATTGATTATTTCTAAACTGATGGCCAGGTTGATTTTATGACATGTCAAATTTTTTTTATAGGGCACCCAGTGAGGATCAAACTCACTACTCAGCAGTAATGATCAACCAGGCTGACCTCCTTAACAAGGTAAATTTCTGTAACAGAATTAATTTTCTGAAAATTTTTTTTTTTTATTAAGCTTCATTTATTTTTAATTTTCTGTAATTGCAAGTCGAATGTGAGATTTTTTTCCAGGACAATTTATTTTTGCATTTCTAATAAATTTCTTTTCTTGAATTTTTTTAAAACATACTGTAATTCCCCCATGTATAATACGCATTTTTTTCTTAAAAAATAATAAGCAAAATTAGTTGTGCGTATTATGCACAGCTACAAAAAAATCTTTAAAAAATTGACGTTTCATCAGTCGATTTCAGTTGTGAAATAACTACTCACCTCAATTTCACTAAAATTGCCTTATAATCAAAATCAATAAATTTCATTGATTTTTTTCTTCCTTTATTCATTTTATTCTTTCCTAAATATTTATCAGACCAACTCTTATTTTGTCTACGTTTTAAGCACAACTTGAATTATATACATCTAACTTGAGCTATTAAGTAAACTTGAGTTACGTATAACTAACCTGAACTGCATACAGATCCAGAAGATTGCTCATTTTATCAAACAAAAACAAGTGAATGAGTCAGTGCAGTAGGCACAATATAGGTATTTCTGTTTCCTTTTAGAATCATGATGATTGGAAATTGATAAATATCTTCAATTACAGCTTGAATAAGAGTAGGAAATGCTGGCTGTAATGAAATTGGAGAGGTATAATTTATAGGGTTTGCTTACCAAACAAGGGGTGCGTATTATGCATGGAGGTGTATTATACATGGGGAATTACAGTAAGAATAATCTAATATTAATTATAGGTTACTAAAAATCCAGTATTAATTATAGGTTTCTGCCTATAACCCATTAATGTCCACCATCACAAAAAATGGAAATGTGAGCATTATTGGCTAAAAAAGACTGAAGCCATTAAAAATACATATTTTTTTTCTAAAAACATAAGTAAAATCAGGGGTGTATATTATGCACAGCTACAAAAAAATCTTTAAAAAATTGCCATAAAATAAAATAAGAATTATCATAAAACTAAATTAGAATAATATTACTCTATGTTTAAAACAATTTTTTTTAAATAAGATTAAGAAACACTGGCTGTAATAAAATTGGAGAGGTATAATTTATAGGGTTTGATTACCAAACAAGGGGTGCGTATTATACATGAGTAGAAGCATTTTCACCACACTTTCAGCGTATTATACACGAGTAGAAGCATTTTCCCACACTTTTCAATTTTAGTGGGTACTAGCAGAGCCTGGTGTTGCCCGGGGATATAACAGTAAGAGATAGATCAAGTATCAACCATCATAAAGACTGAAAAATAAAATTGACAAAGATTATTGTTTAAGGTTGACAGACGCGCATGTCTTAATTAGTTTTTTTTTTTTTTTTTGTTTTTTTTTTTTTTTAATTGGTCAAAAACCAAACAAAAACATTGTTTTCAATCAATTATGAGTCTATCGTTGAATAGAATTTTATTATAAACAATTGTTTTGTAAATGGAATTTTAAGCATTCTGAATGTAAAAATAAAGAAAAAGTGTGCAAGACAATAAGAAACACTACCTACCAAAAAAAAAAAAAAAAGTGAAGTTTTGTTGAAATTGGTTGAAAAATGTAGGAAATCCGATCCCATATATAAACGAACACACACACTGACAAACAACCTGGGTTTTATAATAAGTATAACTCGATATGAGTTGTCCTCCTTTCATTCTGGCAACAGAATCGTGTTTTATCTTGTTTTCAAATTGATTTCATGCAAAAACAATTGTGTTTTTCCAATTTTTGGCACTGTCAGAACCACCGCAAGGTAATTTTACGCAGTCCTGTGAAGTTTTGTTGAAATTGGTTGAAAAATGTAGGAAATCTGATCCAATATATAAACATACAGACACACACAATCTGCGTTTTATAATAAGTAAGATGTACTATGGATGAAGGCATATTATACATAGATAATTACAATAGCTTATTCCTAGGCCTCAATGCAGCGCCTTAATTTTGATAGGTTTTCTTTTTTTAAATGCATCAGTGAAGCAATTTCATTGAAAAGTACAATCTTTTTAAATGATTTTAGGGTTTTTTACTTGCATGACAGAGCAGCCAGGAAATTGCGGGTGTTGGGGGTTTTTCTTTTACTTAGCTGGTAGTGTAGCAAGGGGTTTTTCTTTTACTTAGCTGGTAGTGTAGCAAGGGGTTCTTTTTACTTAGCCACCAAAGAAACTGTTTTTTTTTTTTTTTTTTTACTTTAACCAGTAGTGGGGAGGAGGGGGAGTTCTTTTTATTTTTTTTAATTTTCTATGCCTCTTCAAACTTTTGCAGGTTATTTAATGCCAGAAATTATTCATTTACACAAGCTTGTTAGGTAGGTAATTTGCTGATTTCTTCTGTCCGTATTATCTTCAATATGTCCTGTGAGTGTCAAATTTTCCAAACCCTCTTTTCTCATTACATACACTAGAAATTTCTACTGTCGCTTTCTGATACTATGTATAAGTGTCCTTTTTGTTTCCATTTTCACTAAAGCTTTCTTGCTGCACACATGTTCGGTCCATGGTATTCTCAGTATCCTTCTGTAGAACCACATTTCTGTTACCTCAAGTCTCAGTCTCTTCTTCATCTGTACGGAGATTGTCTAGCATGTACTGCCATAGAAGTGGACCAATATTACATAGAAGTTCAGAATTCTTTTGTGAGTTTATTTATGGTTTTATTTTATTTTTTTCCTCAAGTGTCTTATTCAATTTCAATTCCTAAATTTTATACTTTTGTTTTTTTTTTTTCTGAAAATTTAAAAAAAAAAAAAAAAAAAAAATCCCAATGAGGTTGTATAGGTATGGCTAGGAATTTAACTCACCAACCTCCAGTACCAAGAAAGAAAAGAGGAGAAGAATAAGAATTAAAAAAACAAAAAAGGCCTTTTCAAAATGGAGATGTCTTGGCTGCTCAGATGTTTCAGCCTGCCCATCAAAAATATTTGTTTTCTGGTACTCTGATCTTAGAATATACTGTTAACTCACTTGCTGAGCAATGACATTTCAGAGATACCGGGTGAGGCAGAAATACCACCCACATTTTAAGTTGTCACCTGTGTGGTGCTAGTGAACTTTGGCAAGTGGCAATGGTGTCTTCATTGAATTAATGTCTTACCATCACCCCCCCCCCATAACATCATGGCTAGGACAGGTGCACACTGTGCATTTGTATTTGAAACGGTTTTTTAAGACTTGTGAATCTGTAATTGCAACAGAGAGCTTTTTGTGCTTCTTTCATGTTGCGTCAGAATGATACTGTTCTGGATAGAAAATTGATACAGCTATGGGGTTGAAAATCTCAGAGTCACATGTTCCATGCTTACGAGAAAAGCAAATGGAAAACCTCAAAACACTCAAATTTCCATGTAATGAAAAATTTTAGAAAATCATCTACAACAGTGTATAGCGAATAGAGGCCACCATTTTGAGAATGTCATTTATAAAACCCAAATGAATAAAAACTGTAGCTGTTTGTTTAAACAACAGAGAAATAATCTTTTGAATAGTATTTACTGTGGTCTTTTTGTTAACCTTTAAAATGTGGGAGTTATTTCTGTCTCACCCTGTGTATAAGTAAATGCAATAACTTGATTATTTTCATCATTTCAGTGCTTTTTATAAGTTCCAAAAATATCCCAGCAAATGACCCTCTCTTGTCAACAGCAATGCACATTGTTATTGCACAATTACAAATCTAGCTTAAATGCTGGCCAATCACAATATCCTATTAATCAAGTATCTGGAAAAGATACAATTGGTTATCATATGTCCTACACTCAGAATTATAAAACATTTGGACAGTTTCTACACACTCTGTCCAAAAAACAAAAACAAAAAACAGAAAAAACACTTGTTTGCACAAATAAAATTAAATAAAAAGCTTAATCATAGTACCTTGTCTGTCATTTTTAATGAAACATGCATAAATGAAGGTATGCTGCCTAAATACACAATTTTTATATATATATATATATATATATACACACACACATCTAAAAATAACATTTCTTCATTATTGGGTTGAAAAAAAGTTTCCACATCTTTTTAGTTATGTTTATCTATACAGGTTGCTGCATAACCTCCCACATTCTAAACTGCCACCTGTGCAGTGCTCAGGAACTTAGACAAGTGGTAATGGTGCCCTCATCTGACTAATGTCTAACCATTTTTTTTCCCCGATACCTTCAGTTATAAGGGCTTCGACTGACACACACTGTGCATTTATTGTTAGAATGTTTTTGAAGACAGTTGTATCTGTCATTGGAACAGAGAGCCTTTCGTGATCACTTCATGCTACATCAGAATGCTGCTGTTCCAGATAGAAAATCAATTCTGTTATAAGTTGAAATTTTCAAGATCACAGGTTCAGCGCCTAAAAGAAAGCCAGACTGAAGAGCTTAAAGTGTTCAAACTTTTGGGTGATGGCAATTTTTAGAAATCATCTACAACAGTATATGGTGACTATAGGCCACCATTTTGAGAATGTCATTTTTAAAACCTAATGAATAAAAACTGCAGTTTAAACAGTGAAATAATTATTTTTAATAGCATTTACCTGGGTTTTTTTAAACTTTATAATGTGGAAGGTATTTCTACTGCACCCAATGTATAAGTAAATGCAATAACTTGATTATTTTCATCATTTCAGAAAAGAAAATGTTGACCAGGATATTATTGAAGGATAATACCTTTAAGGCGAGCAGTCTTTTTAAGTAAAGTGCTCAATATTAAGAAATAAAGCATGGATACTGTATATGACAGAAATAACTTCCACATTTTAGTAAACTCTTAGGCAAGTGCCAATAGTGTCTTCATTTAGCTAATGTGTTTTTTTCAGATATCATCATGGCTTGGACTGGTGTACATTGTATGATTGTTGTTGAAATGTTTTTTTTTATTAAAACTGGTGAATCTGTTATTGCAACACAGAGAGCTTTTCATGCTTATTTCATGTTATGTTGGAATGATGCTGTTCCAGATAGAAAATTGTTACTGTTACAGGTTGACTATTTCAGGGCTACAGTTTTGGCACTTAAAAGAAAGTCACATGGAAGACCTCAAAGTGCACAAACTTCCAGGTGATGGAAAACCTTAGAAATCATCTACAACAGTGTATGGTGAATAGATGCCACTATTTTGAGAATGTCATTTTTAAAATGCAAATGAATAAAAACTATAGCTGTTTGTTTAAACAATAGTGAAATAAACTTTCTATTAGGTTGGTGCAAAAATAATGACGTAATAGTGTCGTTTTTTGACGTATTTTTTAACGTCAAAAACGACATTATTACGTCATTATTTTTGCACCAACCTAATAATAGCAGTTGGTCTTTTTGTTAACCTTCAAAATGTGGGAGGTATTTCTGTCGCACTATTTGCATTTCTTATTTCTTTACTTTTGTGATATTGTTTATTGTTTTATTTTTGATTTAGTGTTTTATTTGGTTTCAGTTTCTTTATTTTGTGAATTTTCTCTGCTTTAATACTTACCTTAGCCAATAGAGTCTTCCCACATCCAGGGGGTCCAGCAAGAAGGATTCCAGGTGCCCTTGTTAAACCAAGGGATTTAAAGTGTTCAGGAAATTTCACTGGAGCCTGCAAAAGAAGTATGATTACTTTTCAGAGTTTGAACTTAATAAAGAACACAAGATCTGCCAACTTGGTATTTGCAAAGGAAGAAGGTGAGCACAGAAAGATAATAAAATGAAATAAACGATCTAATAAATTATTAAAATATGGGAACCAACTATACTGAAATCCTTATTATTTTATAAAGTTTAATTAGATTGGTGATTAACTAATATTTTGCCAACCATTCCAATAAACAATATAATAGCATAAATAAACAATCTAATAAGTAGTGTTTATTATTTTTGTTGTCAATTCTCAAAAACAAAGAAATTTTGTGTATCTAATTTCATATGTTTAGGTTTTATTACAATTCTAATCACTTTTTAACCTTTATCACTCTTTATGTGACTTTATTTGCTGTACAAAAAGATTATCCTTCCATTGAAGGTGACTTGAATCCCTGAACAATATAGTGTGTTTGAATTTTATAGTTGTGTTGTCATATCCTGCTATGGCAACAGAAAACAACCGAGTGAAATTAACAGTAAGGTTACTGCAACGGAAAGGCCTTGAAAAAGAATGCAGTGGAAAGGGAAGTAATATTAATTATGCAGAGTGCTAAAGGTCAAAACAATAAGCATTACTGAGTGAAGGTAGTTAAAATAATAGTGGTGTCAAAGGAAAAGCTGTCCTTCTAACAATTTTTTTTTTGCTTGCACAAGGGTTAATGTTTGCCAAATTTTACTTGATGAGGTTCTATTCTTCATCAATTGGATCATCGTTTGATTGCCTGACATGACACGTCAAAATGAAAATGGCAGATTAAGACAACAATGTTAAATACGTCATCCACCAGAAAACTGGTGTTGGAAGTCACTCTTGTAGTGTCTAGTACCAACTGATAGTAAAGTGCGTATTGAATGCTGTAGGACCACTGATAAAAAAGAGAGACACTTGCGTATTTCTTAGAACACCATTTCTTGGTTTTAACTCCCCACCTTATCCTCAGGTCAGAGACATTCAAACAGCTTAAGACTATTATATCTACTACTATTACTACACAATAATAAGAGGAAAAGAAAACTAGCCAAAAATTAATAATGGCAATGATTCCTATTATAAGACATTCAGTCATTTATATTAATAATGTTAGGATCTTTGCATTTTTAGGATAACAACAAAAACAAAAAAAGAAACAAAAAAAGAAACAAAAAAAACAAACAAAAAACAAACAAAAAACAAACAAACACAAAAACAAAAAATAAACAAAAACAAAAAATAAACAAAAACAAACAAAAACAAACAAAAACAAAAACAAACAAAAACAAAAAAAAACAAAAAAAAACAAAAACAAACAAAAACAAAAACAAACAAAAACAAAAACAAACAAAAACAAAAACAAAAACAAACAAAAACAAAAAACACCTTTTCTATGTCATCAAATAAATATTCTGGAAATAAAGTAATCCAGTGTCAAGGACACACATTAATTTCATTCTTTATAGTTTAATAACTTTTGTTTTATTTACCAACATTTTTTCAAGGTAATAAAACCACTAAGACGCAAGTGTAAAAATATATAAGAAAAAGAAAACATTATCAAGGTGAGAGGACAATAAAACAACAGGAATTAAAGAGACATAAAATAATGATTGACAATGCATTTAAATTTTTGAAGATCAAAGTTGACTGGAAAGCAAGAACCTGAAAGAGTCTTATCTCACAAGTGAGAATTGCTAGAGAAGAAACTGTTAGCATAAAACTTAGGGAGACATCTAGCGGCCATTTTAACTGTAATATGCTGAGACATTACCACCAATTTAGTACTGCATTTAAATTTGTATAACCTAGGTACCATTGAGGAAAGTTCATCAGAACAATTTCCATGAAAATATTTATAGAAAAGGCAGAGGGAAGTCAGAAAGTGACTGAAGTCAAGATGCCAGGTCAAGACCAATAACATTGCATATTCTTTGGATTTTATCAAGAATCTCTAAATACACAGAAGCACTAGACCAGATGTGGCAGCAATATTTTAAGCAAGGATGAATTGTAGACTTATGAATGTGTAAGATAGATTCCGGAGAGAAAAATTGTCTAGCACAAGACAATGAACAAGCTTTCCTAGCAATTGATTCAATATAATCTTTCCTCTCCTTATCAGCAGAAAAAAAATCAGCAAGAAGGTGCAATAAGTCACTCTTCTGGAGGTTAGCAGCAGCCATACTGATGAAAGGCAAAAAAAAAAAAAAAAAAAGAAGAAAAAGAAAAAGTTCTCTCAGAAAAGTAGACGTCTTTTATATGATAAGTTGTAATAAATTCTAAAAATTTTAGATATGTATAAATTTCTGATAAAAAACAGAAATGACAGTAAATGTGAGTTCAATCCCTGGGTTGGGTAGTGTGTACTTGGACTTTGTGGAAACAAGGAGAGCAATAACTAAGTATTACTAGAAATAAGAACTAAACGTGATATCCCTAGATATGGGCAGTGGCACAAGGACAGTCTACCCTTGAAGATTTAATAAACATGATGGCAAAGATGAGGATATTAGTCTGAATGTAAATAATGATAACTCCTCATCCCAGAGATTCAGACAGAAGGCAGTCAGGTGATAACAACAACAAAGATGAGGATATTAGTCTGAATGTAAATAATGATAACTTCTCATCCCAGGAATTGAGATGGTGACAGTCTGAAAGTTTAAATATTCAAGATGGTAGTGAATGTGTTAATAAATTTAATTTTATTAACCAAAATAAAGTATAGTCTTACATAGCAATTTCTAACGGTAACTAACAAAAACATTGATGACTTTATATAAGGATTCAAATGTCTAAGGTCATGGTGAATGCATTAAGAAATTTTATTTACCAAAACAAAGCATAAATAATCTTATATAACAATTTTTAATTGTATCTTGTATACTGCAAAATACATGAATTAAGAGTTGACTATTTACTGACTTACCAAAATGGCTATTTTTAATTCTTCACGGATATCATGGAGAGCTCCAATATCATCCCAAGTGACATCTGGGATGGTAGCAAACCCTTCCCTCTTGGCTGAAGGTTGAACCAATTTAAGTGCCTCCTGAAAAAGCATTTAAAAAATATTAAAAAGCCAACACAACAAAGGATATTCATGAAGGTTTAAACATAATAAATAAGAGTTTGGCTTTAAAATGTAATCAGGTCAAGGAAAGCCATTTAATGAATGGAAATTTCATGGTGATATCAATGAAAACTGAAGCAAGTTATTTCAAGATCATGTCCAACGACTTCACTGAAGGTCCACAGCATAAAACCAAGAGTCGATATCCACCCAAAACTAATTGATTGATTAATTTAACAACACACCAACCCTTGCAGGGTTATGTAATATCGAAATCTGTTTTTATTATATTCGAATATATAGGTAAAAATTGATGAGATTTATACTCAAATCAAAAAGTAAATATTTTTCTTTTATGTGTTGTGTCCCTTCAGGATGTAGATCATGGCTCTCTACAATTTCCTGTTCTCTTGTCATTCTTTGCTTCAAATTACTACATATTCTTGTGTCTATTACAACCTGAATATAATATGACCATGTGACTTTGAAATTAAAAACCAGTAATAAATTAATGTCCTTGAGCATATGAAACTAAAAGCAGGAAACAAATTAGGTCCTTGAGTATAATATAACCCCCTTAGTACAGCCAGTATTATATAATTTTTTTTTTTTTTTAAAAGTTGGACTCTCAATGTCATACATATATTTCATTAAAATATTTAATTTTTCACAATATTAAAGAATAGAAATGAAATAGATGTTTAGCCATTGCATGTTTCTTCTAAGTTCAGTTTTAAAACTTCTTTTTGAATTTTTTGGGAAGGTGTTAACTAGACATACCTGTTAATACATTTTAAGGTGTTAATTAATCTATTATACTTTTCTGTTTGATATGACTATTATATTTCTATATATTAATAAACTACAAAAATAAAAAAATATCTTTCATTAAGAAAGTTTGGTTGGTTGATTTATTTTCTATGGTTTATCAACCCTTTGCAGGTTATTTAAAGCCATTGTAATTTTTTTTTTGAGATAGACATGGATTCATATTTAATCAAAATTTGATAAACAAGAAATTATGTGGATATAAAATTGTGATCAATTCTGTATTACAATCAATATATAAACTGATCACTCACTTTGTGGCCACAATAGTTTCTATACATTTATATTGCAGACTGTAAATAAATCTATAAGACATGCTTGTGTAACTAATCCATGTTTGATTCATTCATTTTCTATGGTTTATCAACCCTTTGCAGGTTATTTAAAGCCAGAAAATATTTTTTCAAACTGTTAGAATTTTTTTTTTTTTGAGATAATGATTTAGTAATACGAGTCTTGCTAATTAACCCATGGGGAGGGGGGAGAAGTGGAGCAATGTATTCATACCAAGGGGATAATTGAATATAACAACCCCACTGAGAATTGAAACTTGATTCTTCAGTTAACAATTCCAAGCCATTATCCATTACACCATCTGCACATCCAAGCTTAGAGCACCTGGTATTCCTAAGTGGCCACTCCTCTAAGTACTGACCAGGCTCAATGTGCATTAAATTCAGTGACTGTATCAGTCAGTAAGAATGAAGAAACAAACAAATATTGTTGACATATCAAATACCTTTAGTAAATAATTGTTATCAACATCTGCCTACTTTGTTTTTTATTATCTCTTGTGCTAACTGAGTGTTTCAAATAAGAATATGTACCTGTACTAATTCATGATACCTAAAGTTTCAAATGAATTTTTAAAAATGAAAAGCTTTCTTGAAGTTTTCATTTTATCTTTAATTGAAAGCTAAAAGTTTAAATTTACTATTAGTGTCCATTTTTAGTTGTCTTTCATCACAATGTAATTCTCTTAAAAAAAAAATCTTCCAAAAATAAAATATACTTTTCTGAAACATTGGGGATTATTAGCTTATTTAAAGTGTAATTAATCTGATTTGAACAAATATTATTTAAGTTTAAAATAACACAGAAATGCATTTTTAAAACCAAATAATAGCTGTGCTTTGACCAACAGTAGCCATGTTTATCAGTCTGACAAGGTGATGACAGATTTAGTGTTGTTCTACGAAGACTATATCACTAAAACATAAGAAAATGACAAGTGCTTTTTTTTTTTTTAAAAAACAAAAAAAACAATCATTTTTAAGTACTCGTTAATCTTAAAAATTTTGGAAAATATTCTCCGTAATCTAATTTTAGGAATTTTAACTTTAAATATACTATAGTCATCACTCTTATTTTCTGATAATGTTGTGTATGGTCGCCCATACTTTCAAAAATGGGCACGTTTATATACATAAAAAAAATTTAAAATTCCTTTAAAAATCTTGGTGTTTGATGACTGGTATTAAGCTTTACCATTTATGATTAGTAAATTTAGTTTTCACTTAATAATATCATCTAAATGGATTAAATTAATACAGAATTTTATAATTTAAAATTTGCTAAATTTTTCTAATTAAAATTTTAAAAAATGAAAACAATTCCTGTAAAAATTCATTCATCAAAAGAAAAAAAAAAATTTTCTTGCGACAATAGTGTTCATAATATATCTTATTTATAAAAACAATTAAAAGCGTTCGTAATTGAAAAAAATGTCAGTTTTAATGTATTTTTTATTTAATGATTCAGAGCAGATTTTCAGTAATTGGTGTTCCTGCTCGACAAAAAACAAAATGATTACTAAAATTTTCCAAAGAGTCTTTGCTTTTAACTAATATAAATATCAAGAGGATGAATGGGTTATTTAAAGCCAACAACATTTTTATTGCTGAAAATGTCTTGCTGGTATTAAAACATATTTTTACACTTTCATAGTGTTTTGACCCCTATCTGGGGGTTGACTATCTGCCTATAGTTGGGACCCTAACAGGTGGACCTGGGAACACCAGCAATTAAGAGGTGGTTCCACGCTCCTCAAAACCTCCTGATCAGAGGCCTTGCTGCTGGACGTAGTTTATCGTCTTACCCAAAACATGGATGTAATTTATCATCATACCTAGGACGGAGACTTTTACTGCTCCAGAAAGTACCAGACTCCTCCTGGCATGCTCTGTCTTTACAAGAGTCGGATCAGGCCAAAAATACTACCAAATCAAGACGTTTTCTTTTTATGAGCCATGTCCTTTCAGGACGTAGTTGATCATGACTATCCACTTCCCCCTATGCCTTGCAGCTCTCAATAAGTTTCATCCCTCTATTACCTCCCCCAGACCATGTTCTATCATAAGCACTCCAGATATGTCATGCATTGCTTTCCGTTGTCTCTCTTTCCCTCTATTTGACATGTGAGTATCAGATTCTCCAGACCCTCCTTTCTCATTACGTGTCCCAGAAACTTCAGCTGCCTTTTCCTGATGTTAAGGCTTTCTTGTTTGCATCCTCTCCAAGACCTCATTGTTGCTCACACGCCCAGTTCATGATATCCTCAGCATCCTTCTGTAGAACCACATCTCAGTCACCTCAAGTCTCTTCTTCATCTTTGAGGAGACCCTCCAACATTCGCTGTTGTAAAGGAGGACAGATGTTACGTAACAGCTCAGTACTTCTTTCTTTGTTACCAAAGAAATCCTCCTGTCTTGCAATATCAAGACAGGAGCTGCCAAATCCTCTTCCTACACAGCCTCATGGGTGATGAATTAGTTATTTTTGTGGCAGAAACTCAGGTGAGCTACATTTATTAGTCCCACAAGTTTAAACCTTTAAAATTTCTGACTCGCCATACCAAGTATACACGGTCAAATCATCCTCATTTCTTTCATGTTCTACTGGTAAGGAAAAAGTTCCGTGTGGATAGAGTTTTCATTCCCAAGTATTGCTGCTTTGTGGAACAGACACAGAGAAAATAATTCTCCACTCACTACAATCTTAACCTCTTCAAGTCCAAGATCAGCTATTTTCTATATTAAATATCCTCACTTCTTACGTCCCGATCCTCTTCACCCTATAAAACAATATTCAGTTTTCTACCTTGAGTGGATCTTGGATCTGGTACCAAGTGAACAAAAAAAAAAAAAAAAAAAAAAACTCATCCAGGCAAAAGATTATGTCCCACGGTACCAGTAGCTGAAAATACATCCAACAAAACTTTAATATGAGAAGCGCCTGCCTCGAGATCCATTTACTCGTTACCAATCTATTGGAAACAATTTCAGTAATTCTTTATTTTCCCAAAAGCAATGAAAAGTCAAAGAGCACAAAGATACCAAAAAATCCTCCATTGTAATGAACAGATTTTGCAGCTGTGTTTCTGTAAGGGGGGGTTGCTCCCTCAACCAACTGAGCACTACAAAAAAGACAATTAAAATGGTTCTGTTAAAATACAAGAAGCAAAGCAAACATTTATTACTCATGAAAATAATGAAAATGAAAAAAAAAAAAAAAAAAAAAAAAAAAAAAAAAAAAAAAGCATTTTTTCAGTTATTCCATTCCTCTTCTTGTGCCATGTCTCAAGTTGTGGGCGATCATGGTTCTCCACAACTTCCTATCACTTGGAGTACTTAGTAAAAAATCACTCTCACTACCTCTTCTAAGTTCAGACAGCTCTCCAGACCTCACAGTACATGATACAGTCTTTGAAATATTTTCTTACAAGACCTGGAAATTAGTTTGAAATTATATATATATATATATATATATATATATATATATATATATATTTATTAATCCCAATGTTAGTTTTAGTGGATATCAATGTTTGAGAGTAGATGGCAAAAGCTCCTTGAATGCTGACAACAGACTAAATTCTCATTCCAATGGCTGCTCATCTGAAGCAAACCAGGCTTGGTGGTGGTTACATCCTAAATAAATTTTATATAGGTTTTTAAATTTAGCAATACCCTATAATTATTCTGCATCCTGCTCATAATATTATAATTAGCATGATAGGGTCACACATTTTATTCAATCCACAGGGCTAAACTACCCTGGTATTATTTAAAGATTTCTGAAAACAATATATTATTAGTTATGGCTTAAAATACATTAATTGAAAGGTTATTAACTTTAATGTTGACCTTCCTAAAAATAGGATTGTAGGCATTAACAGGTTATTATACATTCATTCATTGACTTTCATGAGATCTTCATGGATAGTAGAATGAGAGCAGTCTACCTCAGTGGATTGAATAAAGTGTTCAGTCTATAGAAGAAAATGAAACCAACCTACCCAGTCAGCCTAAATGTTCCTTATTGCCTGCCATTTTTGTCATGACAAAAATAATTGGTACTCCTCACTGATTATAAATGTAGCAAGTCGAGTAAACTACTTTTTACTAACTGCTCATTTTATCTTTTCTGCCGCAGATTAATAGTAAACTTCTCTTGGGCAGCTTTGAGTGGAGTGAAACATGGCCTCTTATTTTGGCCCCCTATTGAGTGGACTGAAACATGGCCTCCTATTGAGTGGACTGAAACATGGCCTCCTATTTGTCCTTTCACATTTACACAAGCTTGTTAGGTAGGGTTTTGGTTTCATTAGGTTTCTGGCATATGCCGACAAGATTTTTATTGCTGGTAATATAGTCAGGAACTTAACAGGTGTTACCACTCTGGTTCAGGTTGGAGCTGGGAACACCAGCAATTAAGAGGTGGTTCCGTGCTCCTCAAAACCACTTGATTTAAAGGCCTTGCTGTCAGACATAGTTTATCGTCTTACACAGGATGCTTGTTAGTCATGTTTTCTATCTCTTGTAGCTTGTGTATTAACATTCATAAGAAATTCTCCAAGCCCTGTTTCCTTGTTATGTGTCTTAGAAAGTTCAACTGTCATCTGAAAAAGTCTTAGGTAGAATTAATTAAATATTAGAAAAATTTATCATCATCTATGTTTTGTAGCTCTTCAGGGCTTGAGTGATTATGGCTCTCCACACCTTTCTATCTCTTGTAGCTTGTGTACTTTCACCATCCCTCCTAATCCCTGTTCTGCCATTGTTTACACAAGCTTGTTATATAGGTCACTCATTGTTTCTATTGCCTTCAATATGTTCTGTGTGTGTCAAATTCTCCAAGCCTCCTTTCCTCATTATGTACCCTTGTAATTTTAACTGTCTCTTTCTGATTCTAAGTGTCCTTGCACTTACTATTAGCTATATTCAAATTTCTAAGTAATGTGAGAGGATGCATGAAAGTTATTGGTGCAAAAAAAAAAAAAAAGATTCCGGCTCAAATTCATGCCTCGTCTGCCGCACAGGCATTCACTATAAACTGTAAAGAAAATATCTATAATCACAAAAGACCAACACAAATTATTAAACAAACAATAAGAACTCAAAATGCAGACACAAAAACAAATTTTTACTACATTACTTGAAAAATCGAAAATAAATAAAAACAAATGCCTTGTAAAACAATCAAGGAAAATTCCAACAAGCTGCAAAGAAAGAAACAGTAAGGCATTTGTTGGAGTGTTTGGAGAGAACAGGAACCAGTTTTTGAGGACAATTACAGGGATAACATCAAAATCTGCAAGAGCCGAGAGTGGAATTGTAACAGATTAAAAACAATATTACTACTAATACTACTAAAAAGCAAGTGAAATTAAGATGAAAGAAATCCTAGTCAAAAATGAATAATGGCTGACAATGCTTCATCTAATAAGAATAAAATAATTCAAGAGAAAAATAAAATTTATAGTCTGAAGGAACAAAATTTGAATTTCTTTAATAGGAATAGATGGGTTTGTCTATTGTCCGGTTAACATAGCTCCCTGCCTTTTGAACAGAAACAGAGATTTATCTCTTGTTGCCTGTTTAGGAATGGGTTTCTGGTTCCTTCTAAAGTCTTCTCATCCTCTTTCACTCCTAGTAGGCCCTTGCATCTTAGTGGAATTATGGCCTTGCTTAGGGAGCAATGATGATGAAAAAAAAGTCAGTTATTATTCATTGTAATAATTCAATAAAAATAAAAGTGCAAAATCTCACAAAACAAAACTTACTTGACATCAAATTCGAAGAGATGTGATTCTCCACAAATTCTTCTGATTGGTTGTTCATTGATTCATTACTGTTCACTTCCATCGGCACAGCAGCATCACCATCCTCATCTTGTTTCCTATCCGAGTTTTCTACCTGTCGCTGGCTTTCCAACTCGTTAAAAACCCTGCAAGATGAAGAAAAAAAAAAAAATAAAAATAAAATAAAAAGTGTGTTATTTTACAACCTTTGTCTTTTTTTTTTTAAATTTATATTATTCATGTGAGTAGTATATCAAAAGGAGAATTGACAAGGCTAGTTCAAATTTAAATCTTATCTGTTGCATTTTTTTTCCGACAGATATCCTCAGGGAAAGGGTATGAATCTTTTTTTCTTTTCTTTTTTTCATCATTTCACTCCAAGCAAGGCAACAAAGCCCATAAGGCACAGGCTGTTACTGCAAATGAAAGGAGCTGATTGATTTATTTAGTGGCATATAGACTCTTTACGGGTGACTTCAAGCCAAAAGTTAATTTTCTTGGGAGCTTTGAAGCAATAAAAAAATATTATTCTGCTTTCACAATTGAATATATGGTAGATGTATATACAGAAATTCTGAGTATCATGTTTTCATGAACTTAATTACTAGAGGTAATGATATGCGTGTTTTATGTTGTTTTGTTGATGTTATATTTTGGAACACAGTTTGATTTCTTTAAGAAATTTTCAGATGGCTTAATGTCATGAAAGAGTTCTTTCATGTTGGTTGATATATTGTTGGTAATTTTAGTAATTTTTTTAATTATATAAAAACGTATTTTTATACTTTCACAGTGTTAATTATTTGCCTGTAGCTGGGACCCTAACAGGTGCTACCACACCGGGTCAGGGTGGATGTGAGAACAGCAGCAATTAAGAGGTGGTTCTATGCTCCTCAAAACCGCCAATCTCCCGATCAGAGGCCTTGCTGCCAAATGTAGTTTATCATCATATCCAGAACTTGAAACAAACTGAGAAGACATTAGTGTGGAGAGAGATGATGACAATTGTGAATTTATCAGAGGGTGCATTTTGTTTAATAAATTTTCTCAAATGTGCAGGCATGTAGATTAAATATAATACTGTTTAAAATAAATGGAATGTCTACTTAAATACGGGTAAGCCATTAACATAGGATTTATGGTGATTGATGCATCTACAACGCAACAAAATGTAAATTTAATTGTCATTAATATTGCTCCATTTACCAGTGCAGTATTAACAGGGGGCATTAAATGAAGAAGTTGAGGAGAAAAGAAAAGGAGAAAAAAAAGAAAAGAAAAAAAGAAAAAAGGAGAAAAAAAGAAAAAAGAAAAAGAAAAAGAGAAAAAAAAGAAAAAGAGAAAAAAAGAAAAGAAAAGGAGAAAAAAAAGAAAAGAAAAGGAGAAAAAAAGAAAAGAAAAGGAGAAAAAAGAAAAGAAAAGGAGAAAAAAGAAAAGAAAAAGAAAAAGAAAAAAGGAGAAAAAAGAAAAGAAAAAAGGAGAGAAAAGAAAAGAAAAAAGGAGAGAAAAGAAAAGAAAAAAGGAGAGAAAAGAAAAGAAAAAAGGAGAAAAAAAAGAAAAAAGAAAAGAAAAAGAAAAGAAAAGAAAAGAAAAAGGAGAGAAAAGAAAAGAAAAAAGGAGAAAAAAAAGAAAAAAGAAAAGAAAAAGAAAAAAGAAAAGAAAAAGAAAAGAAAAAAGGAGAAAAAAAGAAAAGAAAAAAGGAGAAAAAAAGAAAAGAAAAAAGGAGAAAAAAAGAAAAGAAAAAAGGAGAAAAAAGAAAAGAAAAAAAGGAGAAAAAAAGAAAAGAAAAAAAGGAGAAAAAAAGGAGAAAAAAGAAAAGAAAAAAAAAGAAGAAAAAAAAAAGAAAAAAAGAAGGCAGGTATAGACTGCTTACTTACCTTGACACAGCCATCATGGCTGCTTCTCGAGCCAATGCTGCCAAATCAGCTCCCACAAACCCAGGGGATAGGTGGGCCAAATGTCCAAAGTCAAAATCTGGGGTCAGTTTTAAATTTCGACACAATACTTGTAAAATCCTAAGAAAGAAACAAATTTCATAAATATACTTCATTTTAAATAAATACATAAATGTACAAATCATTTATGAAACCTGTTCCCATTAATGATTGCATTGCATACATAGTGACATCGGGGTCAACAGAGTTTGTTAGCCTTGGTTGGCAATCTGTCAAAACAAGGGTTGACAGGACTTCTTAGTCACCTTGATGACAACCCTTCAAGTGACCAATGGCTTCATTTTTGAGATGAGGGGTGAATGAGCTGCAGCTCAGTAGCCAACTTCCAAATAACGGTAAAGAAAAAAAAAATAAGGGATCTGTGACCCTCCACCCCCCAATGATGAAAATCAGGGACAAAGATGTGTAGGTAGTGTCATGGATAGTGGTTTGGATGGATGTTGGATTTAACGGCATGTCAACTCCTATTTGGGTCAATTTATGCCGTTTTTTATTAATTTATGAATTTAAGTTGGTTATTTTGTATAAAATGATGAAAGGTTGTTGGGTTTCATAATTTTCTGTATTTTTGGGATTGCTTTTTGTGACCGTTTCTGATTGTGTATTTTACTGTTTATATTCATAGATGCATATATATGTCTATAAGCATATATATATATATATATTTTATTTATATTTTATTGAGGATTTTTATTTCCTTGAGAAAACTGTATATTTTTTCTGTGTCTGTATTTTTGAATATTTCTTTTAAATCTTTTCCATTGAGATATTTCTGTCTTATTCTAGTTATGATTTTGCATTCTGATAGAATATGTCTTATTGTGATTAGGCTTCCACATTTACATTTTGGTGGATTTGTCTTTTTTTAATATGTGAGAATGAGTTAAATATGTGTGTCCTATATGTGTTCTGGTTATGACAACTTGTTTTTTCCGAGTATTTCCAAGATCATTTCCCCATTTTCCTACTTTTTAGGTTTAATTTGAAATAATTTATTTCCGGTTTGGTTTTTCCATAGATTTTGCCATTTGTTTCTTATGTATTTATATATTTTAGATTTTAAGTCTGTATATGGAATTTGAAGATTTTCGTCAATTGTCATTTTTAAAGATGATTTAGCAGCATTATCTGCCTTATCTCCTCCTTGGATGCCAACATGGCTAGGAATCCAGCAGAAGATGATATTTTTGCTTTTTTCCATTGAATGTAGTTTATATAGAAGACTTTGTATTAATGGATTTTCCAGTCTTTTCCCTTTTAGGGAGGTTAATACCGATAATGAATCTGAGAAAATAATATAGTTTTCTCCTTTGTTTTTATATGAAATTTAGTGCTAGTTTTATTAAATAGGGCTTCTGCACTGAAAATTGATGCTTCATTTGGCAAGCGTTTTTTTGATAATTGTTTCTTTTTGTTATTGCTGCGCTGCCTGTTTTTTTTCTTCGTCTTTTGATCCATCTGTGTAAATACTTTCAGTTTTGATATTTTTCTTTTTATTTTTGAGAATTTTTCAATGTATGTTGTGGGTGTGTTTTTGATTTTGATAATTTGTTTAAACTTAATATTATGTTTGGATTTTGATTATCCATGGTGGTATGTTTGTTTGGTTGGTTTTTAAGTATTTGATTAGACAGTAAATTATTTTCTTGGATGATTCCTTCCATCCGGAGTCCCAATGTTTTGATTTTATTTGTGTTAAGATTAAATTTCTCTTTGTGATTTGGTGTAATTACACAATCGTGTGGGGGTTAGAAGGACAGGAAGAGAGTTTTAGATAGTATTGAGTAGCTAGTTTCTCCATTCTTAGTTGTAATGGGGGTTCGTTTGCCTCTACATGTAGACTCTCTATAGGTGAGGTGGGATAGGCCCTAGAGCTATCCAAGGCCTTCATGATGTATTGTGTTTATTGTTTTTAGATAAGATTTTCTAGTTGATTGGTAGACCATGCTGCCATAGTCCAGTTTGGAGCGGATCAACGTTCTATAAAGCTTAAGAAGGGTTTCTTTGCTAGCTCCCCCATTCTGTATGGGCTACTGTTCGCAGTAGTTGGAGAGCTTTAAAACATTTTGTTCTTAGGTAATTGATATGTGGTCTGAAGGTCAGTTTGCTGTCAAAGATCATTCCTAGAAATTTATATTGCTGAACTACTGGTATTTCTTCATTTCCTAGTTTTAGAGTTGGGTTATTGTGTAATTTTTTCATTTGGCAGAAGTGTACAGATTTTGTCTTCGTTTTTGATATTTTAAAACCGTTTTCAGTGTCCATTTGTTTATTTGATGTAAACATTGTTGAAGTTGTCTTTCTGCTGTGTTGAGGTTTCTTGATCTGTAATATATTGTAAAATCATCAACATAAAGGCTACAGTGTATTCCTGATTTGATGTTTTTATTATGTCATTTATTTTTATTTTGAAAAGTGTAGGGAGAGTACACTTCCCTGTGGTAATCCTCTTCTTGCTTTTGATAATCAGAACGTGTAGTATCTATTTGTACTTGGAAGAGTCTATCTGTTAAAAAATCCTTTTAATAAGTTTGGTAGTCGACCTCTTAATCCTAATTTATGCAGATCTTTCATTATACCATGTTTCCAGGTTTGATCAAATGCTTTTTCTATATCAAAAAATATGGCTATTAGATGTTGTTTGTTTAAATTGGCCTCTCTTATGGCTGTTTCTAGTCTTATTATGTGATCTATTGTACTTCTTCCTTTATTATATCCACATTGATATTCTGATATGTGTTTTCCTTCTTCTAGAAACCAACTCAATCTGGCGTTGACCATTCGCTCCATTGTCTTACATAGACAGCTTGTTAATGCTATTGGTCGGTAACTTTGTGGGTTGTTTCCCTCTTTTTCCTTCTTTGAGTATGGGAATAATTACAGATTCTCTCCATATTTTTTGGGAAATTTCCCAGTAGTCCAAATATTGTTAAAAATATTCAAAAGGTATTTCAGCGATTCTTGTGGTAGTTGTTTAATAAATTCATAGTGGATTTGGTCTGGGCCTACTGCTGTATTATGGGATTTTTTTATGGCTTCTATTAGTTCCGCTTCAGTGAATAGGTTGTTGTAGGCTTCTGTATTTTTTAGATGAAAAATTTAGTTGGTTATTTATATCTTTTTGTTTACACTTTTGTAGGTTTTGATTTTTTGCTCATTTTAGAGTTTTCTGCAAATGTCTCTGCTAGTAGGTTTGCTATCTCATTTTTGCTAGTTGCTTTAGTGTTGTCCTTTTTAAGATGTATTATTGGGTGTATTTGATCTTTTCCAGCTATTTTCCTCATCATTTCCCATATTGTCTTGGTTTTAGAATGTGTATTTAGGCTGTTTACATATTTTTTCCAACATTCCCTTTTGGCTTCTTTTACAGTTTTCCGTGCTACTGCTTTGAGTTTCTTCATTTCAATCAAATTTTGGGTTGTGGGTTCCTTCTTGAATTTTCGCAATGCTGCTTCCCGGTTTCTGACTGCTTTTTGGCAGTTTTTGTCAAACCAGGGTTTAGTTTTTTTTATAATTATTTTGCTTTTTTGGTATATTTTCTGAGGCAATGGTTATTAATGTTTTGGTAAAGTATTCTACCGAGTTGTCTGTGTCCTTTGACTGTATCAGTACTTGTTTACATTTGTTTTTGAAACCCTCCCCAGTTGGCTCTTTTCAGTTTCCATCTGACGGGGCCTATCTTTTCTTCCTTGGCAGGCTTTTGATTTTCTAGTATGATCGGGTAATGATCACTGCCACATGTGTCACTATGTGTTTTCCATGTATAATCCATACAAATTTCCGGATCGCTTATACTTAAGTCTATTGATGATTCTGTTCCATTGGAGGGATTAAGGTAGGTTGAGGATTTATGATTTAATAGACATAAGTTATGGGTGTTAATTATTTCTTCTAATATTTTACCTTTAGTATCTAGCTTTTTGCTATTCCATATAGGATTATGACTGTTAAAGTCTCCTAGTAAGATTCTGGGTTTGGGAAGTTGCTCCATCAAGTTGTTTATTTCTGTTGTGTTTATTGGTTCCTGTGGGGTATATAAATGGAAAGAATTGTGATGGTTTTATCTAGTGTCACTTGTGTTTGCTATTGCTTGTAATTTAGTTTTAATGTGTACTTTACTTTTGCGGTATGTCATTTCTGATCAATATTGACACTCCTCCATTAGCTCTATGTCCTGTATTGTGATTATAGTGGTATTGTTTATAATTTTAATTTTTAAGTTGGTATTTTCTTGTAAAAAAAGTTTCCTGTAAGCAGATGACGGCTGGATACAGTAGTGACATAAGTATGAGTAGGTCATTGTAATTTGATTTTATTCCACGACAGTTCCATTGCAGGATCTTATGTGCCATGATTATATTTTCATTTTTGGGAGTAAAGTTACCTACTAGGTTGGTATCATTTGTCCTCTCAATTTTTTTTCCATCTCTTGAGTTTTTAGAAGCTTTGTCTTCAACTGCTTGTGGTGTCCTTCGATCAGATTTTTTGATTTTGTTTTGAATTTTGTTTATTATCTTTCTCTTCTCATTTCTATATATTCCATAGGTTCAAATTTATTTTCATTTGATATACTGATTCTCGATTTTGAGTTAGATCTTGATCGAAAGTGCTTTCTTTGCTCTGTTGTCACTTTTTTTTTTTTTTTTTATTTTTCATTTTCTTAGTTTGGGTTTTGGAAAGAAGAGGGTTCGCTGGAGTTTTGTTCTGTGTTTTCTTTCCAAAGTTTTTTGCCTCCTTCTGGGTTTATTCCATTTGATCTGGGTTGTTGAGTTTTATTTTGATCCGATTTAAGTTCGGTTAAAAAAGGTTTTTAATTCTTCAAGGAAAGCTTTTAATTCCTTACATAGATTTGTTATTTCAATTGAACCTTTTATTTTATCTTCATTGTTTATTTTATTTGCTTTTTTGTGCCATGGAAGCATATGTGTTTTCTTTTATATTATTTATAACTTCCTTTCGTACTTCTATGTAAGATATATTTTTTTGTATTTTATTCTAATTATTTCTTTCTCCTGTTTATATATATTGCATTGTTTTGAGAGGGCAGAGTGGTTTCCCAAACAGTTTGAGCATAGGCTCTCATTTGGGCAGTTCTCTTCTTTTTGTGTTCTGGTTCCTTCTCACTACATTTCCCACATATTTTTTTTTATTTCTACAGGAATCTCTGTGATGCCCAAATTTGTGGCATTTATAGCATTGTAGAGGGTTTGGTACATATTGTTCTACTTTTATACTTTCATATCCAATTTTTATTGAAGTTGGAATTTGGGGGGGAGTTGAACGTTATAATGTAGGTATTAGTTTGTATCTCAGCTCCATTTTTTTTTAATTGTTATTCTTTTAACATTTGTAACTCCTTGAGTTTGGAGTTCTATTTTTATTTCCTCTAGAGTGCACAAAGAGAGCTCCTTACTTTTTTACTACTCCCTTTGAGTAATTTAGGGTTTGGTGTGGGGTAGGTTTTTATTTCTATCTCTTGTAGTTTTTTTTTTGTCTGATCAATGTGTCCGCATATATTTTTTTTTACTTCTATTAGTATTGTTCCATTTTGTAATTTTTTTAACCTTTTTGGTATTATGATATTTTTTATTGCTTTTTGTATTTTAAACGGAGAAAATTTCTGATAATGATTTTTTGGCTTATTGCTTGAGTACAATAAACCGTGGGAAGTTTTCACTTTCATTCTCTGTTTCTGAGTCGTTATCCACATGTGGTCTCTTGGAAGATTTCTTTTTTTCCATTGATTGTTTTTATTTTTGTTCATCATTCTCGCTCCCTACCCACCACGGAGTCCAGATTGGGACAGGTCAAGGGGGAAACCCATTCGCCTTGCCATGTCGGGGCTACGTGAATGATATACTCTTTTTGGGAGGAGTCTTTGAGCACGATGTTCCTTTGTTTCCGTTTTCCAAGTATTACACGGCTGTGAAGGTTTAGCAAGTGTGTCAGATACTTTTTTCCCCCAAATTGATTGACCCTCAGCCACCGCCTTCCATCACATATTTAGGGTTAAGTGTTAGTTTTGGTTGGGAAGAGGAGTGTCAGTTATAGGTTTGGGTTGGATTATATATGATGGGGCTTGACATGACCAGCCGATTGATCGGATCGGGCCCCTCCGACCCGCCTGCCTAGCCCAGGTAAGGGCCAAAGTGGTGTGTTACAAGATTGTGACCGCTTTACACCTGGGTTACAACCTGCTCAACCACCAGGATCCCGTCCCCAGACATTACGGGTCGCCACCCACGGCCAACAGGTGGCCCCATTGAGGGACTTTTACCCTCTGCAGGGGGGCAGTCGGCGTATTCTGATGCCCCACCGACCGGGCGTGATAGTGGTTTGGAATGTGAAACTGGAGAGCAGAGTTCGAATTACATTCATTTACATACAAATAAACTTGGGAAAGGCATGAACCCATTAGCTTTAGCCCCAGTTAGGGCTTAAGTAACTGAGCAGACTGGGTGCTCTAGCCTTGACTGACAACCAGTCTATGAGAATAGACAGATTTGTCTCCTAAGGCTTATCAACCCTTTTCAGGTTATTTAAAGCCAGAAAATATTTTTAGATTGTAAGAAATTTTTTTTTTTTTTGAATAATGGTTTAGTGATACAAGTTCTATTAATTAACCCGCAGCTGGGGGTAGTGGTGAGAAGAAGTGGACACATACCTTTCCCAAGAGTATTTGTGTGTAAGTAAATATAACAACCGTGACAGGAATTGGAACTTGACTCTCCGATTAACAATTCCGAGTCATTATCTATTACACCAGCTGCACATCCAAGCTTACGGCACTTGGTATTCTCAAGTGGTTACTCATCTAGGTACTGACCAGGCTTGACATTGCTTAACTATGGTGATCATATAGAAACTGAGGTTTCAACATGATGTGATAAGCCAGTCTGTGACAAAGACAACATTGGATCTGTTGTACCCACCAATATGACTATTGTTCAATTAGCTTGAAATATTAACATTTCTTGCTAATGTACTATTAGGTTACCTCCTCCTAATTTTTGAAACTGCTACTAGGTGACACTCTCAGGACTATAAATACTTGGCAATATCTTTTCTTGCCCTCTTCTTAGTTTCTGCTTATATGATAACATGTAAAGCTCTTGCTGAAGATTGTGTTCCCTTTGTGTGAAAGGCAGGATCAATACATACATATACACACACATTATTGTCTTTTCTCACTTGTAATCCTTTGTTGTTGATACATTATTATGTATCTGTGTGTGTATATATATATATATATATATATATATAATATTATGATAAATATACACATGCAATCATATATATATATATATATATATATATATATATATATATATATATATATATATATACACATTTGTATAAAAAATAATTCCAAGAGGATAGAATCTAGGTAGAACTCAATGTCCAGGACAGAGTAAGGATATAATAATGACTATGGAATATTAGTATAGACTCTTGTAGTTTCTTTACATTTCTTTATGTGGACTCATATCCTGAGTCTGCCATGTTGGTTGTTGGCATTTCAAGAGACACACGTGTTCATCTCACAACACATACAATGGCCTGCAACAAATCGGAAACTCTAACAATTGTCTATGATCCTCAACATTTAGCAATGTAAAAAAAAAACAACAAAAAAACAAAAAACAAAACAAAACAAAACATAGTAGTGTCCTGCTTAATTTCTTTTCTTCTAGGAATAAAATGCATGAACACAGTCATCATTACATTTGCATATTTGGTTTGGTCTATTTAATGGCACATCAATACCATATAGGTCATTTAATGAGAAAATCTGATTCACTTGCAAATGCTTGATTACAGTCATAACTATTCATACGGCCCAACAAACAATGGATTCCAAATAGTTTTGTCAACCCAATTTTAATTCCTAAAGCTTGGGTCAACCAATGGTATAGTTTGCAGGCACTTTCTAATCATGCCACACCCTGGGATTATCTCTCCAATCGATATTATCAAGAAGTTACTTCCTTAAATTGTCTATGGGTAAGATTCAAATCCAGGTCTCATGATTAGAAGGATAATGATCTAACCATTTAGCCATGCACCCATTCTTTGGATATTTAAATTTTTTCCATACAGTCATTTATATTTTTATAATTTACCATTGAAAATGCTATAGGAGACAATTTGGTCCTTATTTTGATAAATAAAATCATATTTACACTATTTACATTATTCGGACTATTGTCCTCATCTTTGTTGTCATATTTATTACAATGTTTCAGCCATTGTATACCCCGCTCTTCTTTAGGTGGTTGGAATGTTGAACTGAATCCTTTATTTTGCTCACTGGGGTAGACTGTTCTAGTGGCAGTGGAGAACTTGGAGCGGGTAATTAACTGATATCCATTAAACATGGCACGTGGAACTAGAACAGTCTACCCCACTGAGTGAAATAAAGGGTTCAATTCAACATTCCAACCATCTGAAGAAGGCCGGAGCATACAATGTTCGAAACATTGTGATAAATACAGCAACAAAGATAAGGACAATAGTCTGAATAATGTAAATAGTGTACATAATACCTCATCTCAGAAATATAGACAAAATCATATTTATTGAACTATAAACAAAAGAAGCCAATGCCTGTCTTTGACACTGGTTTTTCTTCATGTGATGCATTTGTCGTAAAACAGATGAACGCGTGTGTCAGAATCAGTAAGCAACTTTCTCGAAGCTGCACATGTGCAACATTTAGCGGGAAAGTGTTTAGGATCTCTGGGACCATGAGTGACTGGGGTTGTTTTTATGAATGAAAAATCAAAGTTTAATAAAAAGAATGAGGAGAAAAGGAAAGAAGAGGGGAAGGAAAAAGGAAAGAAGAGGGGAAGGAAAAAGGAAAGAAGAGGGGAAGGAAAAAGGAAAGAAGAGGGGAAGGAAAAAGGAAAGAAGAGGGGAAGGAAAAAGGAAAGAAGAGGGGAGGAAAATAAAAAGAAGAGGGGAGAAGATAAAAGGGGGAAGGGAGAAGATGAAAAAGGGGGGAAGGGAGAAGATGAAAAAGGGGGAAGGAGAAGATGAAAAAAGGGGGGAAGGAGAAGATGAAAAAGGGGGGAAAGGGAGAAGATGAAAAAGGGGGAAAAGGAGAAGATGAAAAAGGGAAAGGAGAAGATGAAAAAGGGGGGAAAGGAGAAGATGAAAAAAGGGGAAAGGAGAAGATGAAAAAGGGGGAAAGGGAGAAGATGAAAAAAGGGGAAAGGGAGAAGATGAAAAAGGGGGAAGGAGAAGATGAAAAAGGGGAAGGAGAAGATGAAAAGGGGGAAGGGAGAAGATGAAAAAGGGGGGGAGGGAGAAGATGAAAAGGGGGAAGGAGAAGATGAAAAGGGGGAAGGGAGAAGATGAAAAAAAGGGGGAAGGAAGATGAAAAAGGGGGGAAGGAGAAGATGAAAAAAAGGGGGGGAAGGGAGAAGAGAAAAAGGTGGGAAAAAAGAAGGAGAGTAAGCAAAGAAGAAAATGAGGAGGAAGACCTTTTGCGTGCTTTTTCATCTGGAATGCCCATACAGATTTCACGATCAAATCTCCCAGCTCGTCGAAGCGCCGGGTCCAAGGAATCTGGTCGATTTGTTGCACCAATGACCATCACATTCTCAGGAGATTTCTGTTCATCATTTAAATCTGCCAAAAGCAAAGATAAAATAATATTTTATACTTATATTTTATTTGGGTATTTATACTGGCTTAGTCAATCTTTAAAATGGCAAGAACTTTTGGAACGTAGAGTTATTATGGCTCTCCATACACTCCTTTCTTTATTATCTGATAATTGCTATTTGTTCTTGGGTAAGATAGTGTAGCAGTTTCCCACAATTTTCTTTCTATTAGACTGGTTGCCACCCAAGGCTAAAGAGTTCACTCAACCTTGATAATTAACTCATAGCTGGGGAAAAGGCCATCTGTGCAAAAGTGAAAGCAACTGGATTAGTTGGAATTTGAATCCAGCTCACGAATCATACCTAACACACTGATGACCATGATGCTGTTCATCCAGGATCCTCCTTAAACTTTATATTTATCTTCATCTGGATCTAATGTGCAATTATTGCATGTCCTGTCACACTGTGCAATTATTGCACATCCAATTAAAAAGTTGTTAACTAAACCCATTTTAATTGTTCTATTAAAGTCAATTCTAATTGTTCAATTAAAGACTTTTATTAATTATTATAGTGAAATCCTGAAAGTAAAATTAATGCGTATTTCTGCTCGTCCAGCCACAATGTGCAAAATTATTGCTTGCCCCAGCACAATGTGTACTTCTGATCATCCTGTCATAACTTGCATTTATACTTGTCTAAGAGTTGTTAACTAAACCCATTCTAATTGCCATATTAAAGTTAACCCTATTTACTCAATTAAAGACTTTAATTATAATACTGAAATCTTGAAAGATAAGTAAAATTAAGGTGAATAAAAAATGTGGATGTACCATTCTAAAAACTGATCTCATTATCAAAATAGAGATCATGAATTTTGGATATGACTGCCTCTGTTGCTTCCACAATGGTTCAAGTTAATCTATTCTTTGTTTACCTTCTATAATTTTGAGAACAGTTATCATCAAGATTTGTTTATACTCTTTAGATCATTCATTTGGGCCAATTCATTCTGTATCTAAATTTTGCAATCTTAAAAATAAAATCATTATCATTCCAGACTATTGAACTCATTCTTTGTATTGCTTTTGTTGCTACCATAATGTTTCAGTCAATCCATTTTATGTCTACCTTCTATAATTTTTAAGAAGAGTCATCTTTCCAAGTGCTGTGATTTACGGATATAGTGGAAATAAAGTGATATATCATATTTAATGTTATTAAGTAAGAAACTTATGCCTTAGAATTAATATATATTAATATAATTGAAAAAATATATTCAAAGACACCAATTAGACACTAATAAAAGCAAGGACTTAATAAAATATTCAGTAACTTTTGATGATGTGTTGACTAGGATAACAGAAAAATAGCAACAAAAAATTTGTTAAAAATTTACTGACCATCCATGCAAGCTAGGAGCTGAGCAACAATCCGACGTTCCATATCTTTTGAGGCATTTTCTCTTTTTGGAGTGATAACATCTACTTCATCCAGAAATATAACACAAGGAGCTTTTGACTGTCAAAAATTTAAAATGAAACTATAATGAGATCTGACATAATACCTATCTGCAGGTCAATGCATACAAATTTGCACTTAAATCATAAGATATAATGGCAAGTATCAAACATTAAATACTTTCAAACCCTCTATATCATGATTGACAGATGTTATTCAGTTTGGGATTTTGCATTTAAACCTTTAGCTCTCTGCATTATACTGTAGTACTACTTAAATTTTCACTATATATGATAGCCTCTCAAATGCAGTAGCCTAAAATTGCTATAGCAGGAGATGGCAACATGGTCACAAAATTCAAAAGTTACGTGCAGTGGCAAGAAAAGCATTTGGATTGGCAAATTCACGTACAGAGAGCTCATGCTTAACCATTGGCATGTCCTGGGGTAAGGAAATAACACGGATATGATTTTAGATATAGATGAATAATTTTTATTAATCTAATATATAAATAAAATCAAATATCAATCTACAATTTTAAGCCTATATCAGCTGAATTCCTCTTAGCTTATACAATAAATGATCAGTAGCTTTGGTGTAAAAATTTAGCATTCTCCAAATCAGCAGCAGCAGCTGTTACTGACCACAATGCATACTGCCTGACTTTAGTCCTTTCTCAAATTCAGTCTTTAGTTCATCTGGAGGTGTCATATCATTTTATTGTGGTGAGATATAGAAATTGAAGTTTGCACATCAGATTTATAGATTTTCTAAGGCTTACAAATTTCAAGTGTTAATTACAATAATAGGGAGATATTTTGCTTTAAATGTTATAATTAGTAGATACCTGTATTTGAAAAAAAACCAATAAAACTATAACATTATTTAATTAAAAAAAGCTCTTAATTGCTTTTATAAATAAGATATATTAAGGACATTACTGTCTTAGAAAAAAAAAATTTTCAATGAATAATAAATTTTTACAAGAATGGTTTTCATTTTTTAAAAATTTTAATTAGAAAAATTTATTAAGTTTTAAATCTTAAAATTCTGTATTAATTTTAGCCTTTTAAATAATATTATTATTAAGTGAAAACTATATTTACTAATCATAAATGGAAAAGCTTAATACAAATCATCAAACACCAATATTCTTAAAAGAATTTTGTCAAAACAGCTACTGTTGGGTTAAAAAATGCGTTTTTTGTAATGCTTTAAACTTAAAGTGAATATTTCTTTCAAATCAGATTAATTATATTTTAAATTAGCTAATATGCCTCAAATAAAATTTCAGAAAAGTATATTTTTATTTTTGGAAGAGATTTTTTAAATAAATATATATATATATATATATATATATATATATATATATATATATATATATATATATACATACATACACACACACACACAGACAAAAGTTCATTTTCTCCATCAAGACATTCATTTCTGTAGTTTAGTGCTACCAGCAAGCAGAAATATTTCTTCTCCTGATGATGGCCATTTTGGCTGAAATTAGTCGAGGAATCTAAATGAAATAATAATAAAAAAAACGAAAGAATATTAATCTAGAACCCAGTGTGTCTGAAGATTTTAATTTTTTTATTGTTCAAAATTATATATATATATATATATATATATATATATATATATACACACACACACACACAGAGCCTAAAATGGATGATCATCACATTTAAACTATGAGAGTAAATCAGAAAATAAAAAGCAAGGTATGGAAATTGTCTTTACTTATCAATTTACCTTTATATGTGTAAAGTCTGATAAATAAAGTAAAATCTATTATTTTTTTTGTGATGCTAATGAATACTCGTTGTCACTTTTGTAATGCTTGTTGTAGTAGAGACTTTGTAATCGCAGATACAACTATAGTAATGCCGTTGAGCAACTATAGTAATGCTGTTGGTGTCAAACGCCTTCAAATAACACTTTCACTAATAGTACTTGCTCAATCACCATATAGTGATCTGAATAAAGAAGTAGTATAATGAAGAGAGTAGAGAATAGCGATCCATATAGTAATAGAGGATAGTCTAGGAATAAAGATCAATTGGACATCATGCCACTTCCTACTTGTGCGTTTCCTTTATGGTCATGACATTTACTTAATTCAATAATGGGATTGCCTGTGTTTGCTTACTGGCGATCTATGTTCAAACTCAAGTGTCGGCAGAGACACTTTATTCCTATATAATGCTATTAAATAGTGAAAATTTTATTTCGATAACTAAAACCCTGTATTATATCAAGCAACATTCTAATACTAAATTCATCTTCAAACTAAAAAGAATGCTTTTCATTTCTGAAGGATGGAAAACTTACTCGTGCTTTTTCAAAAAGATTTCTCATTTTCTGCTCCGATTCCCCAGACACACCAGACACAAGTTCCGTCGCAGCCAACTTCATGAAGGGCAGCTGAAGTTCCTGTGAATAAAAAGAGAAATTCTTTGTGAACCAAAGCAAGAAATTCGGTCATATTCACTTGTTTGTATATTCAATGCTACTGTGAGCTAAACCAAATAGACTTCTCTTCTGAGAATATGTATGATTTATGCTGCTTGTTTGTAGTGGAGATTAGAGTGTAGTATCTGTTCAATCCCAGATGTAATCAGTAAAGCCTGTTGGCCAAGGAATCTACATAATTAAAATATGCAAGAAGGAACTGAGAAAAATAAAAAAACAGTGTGTGTGTGGGGGGGAGTGAAAGGCAGGATAGCATAAGAAATCTTTAAAATTACACTAATCTGTATTGGGTTTGCCAAAGGATATGAGATAGAGATAGAAAAAAAAAAAAAAGAATGTGGACAGTAAGAGTTAAATTCTCTTTCATGTTTGGTATATGCAGCAAGCAGCTAATTGTATGGAATTCTATGTATGTTTGTATGGAAATGCTACTAAAAAAAAAAAAAAAAAAAAAAAAAAAAAAGATTCATGTCAACATTTTAAGGCAAAAGAGAAAGCACCTGTTAAACATTTATTTATAAAAGAAAAAGAAAAAAAAAAAAAAGGCAAAATTCTTTCTTAAATGCTAAAATGAGAAAAATGTGTAGCAAAAAAATTTCCTGAATTATTCGTGTGGAAAATATAAACAATATACTAATTTAAGTATTATTGGCTGGTATAGATAAGCTACAACAACAAGTATTTAAAATTACACTGATCTTTATACTGGATTTACTGAGCTCTGGTAGTAAGTGATACGTGCAAAGAAAAAAAAAAGAAAAAAAAAAAACAAAACAAAAAAACAAAAAACAAAGCAAAAAAACAAAAACAAACACTCAGTAAAATGCAAGAAATTTTGAAGCAAGTTGAAAGAATTAAGATTACCCCAGCAATGGCATTGGCTAGTAATGTCTTTCCACAGCCTGGAGGTCCATGGAGTAAAATCCCTCGTGGAGGAGTCACACCTAGCTGGCGATGGATCTCAGGGTGTTTCATATGGACAAGAATTTTACAGATTTCCTTTATTAAAAAAAAAAAAAAAAAATGAATTGGTTGAAATTTAATTTCCATAATGATGACGGCTAAAGTAAAAATCAAGTGTTCAGCCGCTTCATGTAAATATGAGTTTTTTCTTGAAAATGTAGTTTTTGTTGAAATAAAATCCTTTATGCATGTGTGTGGAAGTTTGTGGGTGAGATATAAATGAATCTATCTGCAAATATTAAAAGAAACAAATGAGAAGAAACGTTTCCTTTTCATAACACCAAGAGATTTTCAAATTTACATTTGAATGCATAACTATTTTTTTCTCTCAACACTTTCTGTATGTATAAATAGAGCTTTTCTTAATGAATTTCCAACATTTGCCTTACATGTGTTTCAGCCCATTACATAATTTTATGAAAAAATGAGTGTTTTTAGTGACTATATTAGTTAAAAGCAGAATTCTTTGAAGAATTTAAATCACCAAATACTTTTTAAAAAAAAAAAAAAAAAACATGGTCTTGCTGAAAATCTGTTCTGAATCTGAATCTAAAAATAAAAAATAAAATAAAACTAAGACGTTATTTAATTAGAGGAGCTTTTATGGAAAATAAGAAAAATAATAATATAATAATTGATTCTGATCAATATAATTTGTTTGAAATACCAGAATATTTTGCTTATTGGAAATAGTAAATTTAAGCAAAAATAAAAACTTGTTTTTAAAAATTCATTTTAAACTTTACATATACCGAATTAGTGGAGGTATATATATATATATATGTGTGTGTGTGTGTGTGTGTGTGTGTGTGTAAACATACCTTAAAACTATATTTTTCTTTATATATATGTGTGTATGTATAAAAACACATCTATACTGAATGTTCTTTTGCCCTACAGTAACATATTTGGATTTGTGCTTAAGTCTATATTGAAAGACATAAAATTCTAATTCAAAAGAAATAAAAAGTTTTACCTTTAAACATTGTTCATTCCCTCCAATGTCAGCAAATGTTACAGTTGAGATTTGAAACCCCAATTCTTTAAAAACAAAAACAAATAGAAAGATGGATTGATTTGGTTGTTTAATGGCACATCAATGCCTGAGGGTTCATTTAATGTCGAAATTTCATTTTCTAGGGAGCTTTGAAGTAATAAAAATGTTATTTTGCTTTCCCAATTGAGTACATGGTAAATGATACTCAGTTTTTGTGCATAGACATCTTTGTGTGGACATAATTACTAGATGTATTAATATGTGTGTTTTATGTTGTTTTGTTGAAGTTATATTTTGAAATACAATTTGATTTAAAAAGTTGTCAGATATTATATGGATGAATGTCATGAAAGTGTTCTTTCATGTTGGTTGTTTGATTTTGTTTAGCGGCATATCAACACCTCTATGGGTTATTTAATGCCGAAATCTAAATATTTTGAGCACAATTATATGCCTTCAACAGGATAGGAGGACAATACCAAGTGTCAAGAAAGTCTTTTTCATTAGTTCCAATAAATGTGTTTTTATTCATTTCAGTTCTTTAATTTAAAGCGCCAATGGTTCATTTCATGAGTTTTGTAGTCATTATGGCCATTTTTCAACAAGTTAAAAAAAAAAAAAAAAAAAAAGAAATTTCACAAAATTAAATACATCTGTGATTATGGAGAAAATAGCTGTTTTGTTGAATCCTCATCTCAAAATAGTAAAGTTTTAGGCATGTGCCTGCAAGGGTTAAATTTTTTTATGGCAAGTTCAGTATGGTATACTTCTGACCAATTTTTACTCTATTGTCAAATTGTGCTTTGGACTGTTCTTATGTGGTGTAAATATAGTTATTTTTTTATTGAGGTACTAAAAAAAAAAAAAAAAAAAAAAATTAGTCTCTGTTGTTCTATGAACCATAGCAAGAAGTTGCAAGGCATTAACTGCTGAAATGAAACTTATATGAACTCTTAAAATTACTCTTTTGTGTCGAGTCTTAACTATTTTGTTTTTGAGAAAGCAAATTTTCCCAATGATCTAAGAATTATTGATTCCATTAGAATTATCTTTCCTTTACTCTAAGTCTACCTATTTTATAGCACATTTATAATGATTTTTTAACTCGTCTGAAAGTGACATTTTCCATTATACACTGTTGGAATTGACTTCTGATCCAATATCACACAAGACGGAAAACTGACAAATTTTGAATGGTTATAACTTTGTTGCTAATTGAGCTACCCAGATACATTCGGTACCATTTTTTTTTTGTTTTGTCAAGCTCTCTATGCCTGTATTAAAGGTTTTTAGATAATAGAAAATAAAATTTTAGTTTGGGATAGCTATAAGAAAGAAAAAGATTAGCAACAGAGCAATAAAGATGGTAGTCACAGAACCTATCTAAAGACCAAGTTGAAGCATTAGACAAAAGGTATCAGAGTACCCCTCAAGGAAAGCTTAAAAAAATAGGTCTGCAGTCTAAGAAATGTAACAGTAAGGGAACAGCTTAATTTTATTTAAATATTTTATTTGTATAGATTATTAAAACCACTAAGGGAAGTAACCATTCGTAAATTTACTATCTTAAGTTCATTTAACTCCCTTTCTATTATAGACCTATACACGAAAGTTATAGACACACAACAGTAATTATTATATAGTAGATTAATTACATATGGAAATTTTGTATTACAATAAAAGAATGAATAATTAGGAATTTAGGTATTGCCAACCTTTATTTTGTCCATTATTTTCATGCGGCTCCTGCCCTGAACGTTCAGACATTCTGGGTCTCTTGTTGGTTGGCACAGCTGAATCCTAAGGAATAAATAGCTTGTATACTGTATTTACCAAATAAAAGATTTATTTTTGAAAAAAATAAAATAAATTGTATTAAATTCAACCAGTAAGATATGTCTGATTAATATTTTTTTTAAAATTAAAATCTTCACAAGTAGAAATGCTGTATAATGTGTGGTAAGTGATTTCTCTTGGTGAGTGGTGCTCTTGATAGACTCAGCCACATTCATTATACACTTAATTTCCTTAGAAGTTTTGGTATTTTTTTTTTTTACTATTAAAATCTATTGCTAGTGTGGAATCTTCCACAACAAGCCAGTTAACCCCTACTAGGAAATGCACTATTCCTGTTGTAATTTTCACCATCACCATCTTACAAATATATAACAAGCATTCATTGGTTAATCTACTCAAAACTAGCTTGCTGATTGGTCAGTTCCGACCAATCAGATATCCTGCATGCGACAAATCTGCTTTCCTGCGTTCTCCATTTGAGCCACCCACATGGTACAACAAAATTATAAAAACAGAACACGTGTATACTCTCTCTCTCGTCTCATTTGCCAAGGTGTAATCTTCAAGAACTCCCGTCTTAACTAATGCAGTCAGACGTTAAAGACCATTACCAACATTCACGCAAGTACGAACTCTGAAATCTCTTCTGAACTTTTACCAACTTGTACAATACACAATTCCAATCATGCTAAAGAAATTTTATTCTTCTAAACTACAGTTTAATAATTACTTTCACTTTATGAACTTAGGTACAAATATTACCTAATCTAAGAGACACAACGCTGTCTAACCTTTTCACTCAGTATTCATGCCTGTATATCAAACCCTAATAAATTCAATTGTTACGTTTTGAAACAAAATGTTTATGAATCTTTATTCTCTATCTTGTATTAATTGTTGTGGATGGAAGATTATTGAACACACACAATTTTAAACCTGATAATTCAAACTTTCTATCCCTCCCCAAGGATATTTTTTTTTCTTTTTACCATTAAAATCTATTGCTAGGATTTTTTTTTTTTACCATTAAAATCTATTGTTAGGATTTTTTTTTTTTTTTTTTAACCATTAAAATCTATTGCTAGGATTTTTTTTTTTACCATTAAAATCTATTGCTAGGATTTTTTTTTTACCATTAAAATCTATTGCTAGGATTTTTTTTTTTACCATTAAAATCTATTGCTAGGATTTTTTTTTTTTACCATTAAAATCTATTGCTAGGATTTTTTTTTTTTACCATTAAAATCTATTGCTAGGATTTTTTTTTTTTACCATTAAAATCTATTGCTAGGATTTTTTTTTTTTTACCATTAAAATCTATTGCTAGGATTTTTTTTTTTTACCATTAAAATCTATTGCTAGGATTTTTTTTTTTTTACCATTAAAATCTATTGCTAGGATTTTTTTTTTTTACCATTAAAATCTATTGCTAGGATTTTTTTTTTTTACCATTAAAATCTATTGCTAGGATTTTTTAATATTAAAATTTATTACTACAATTTTTTTAATATTAAAATTTATTACTACAATTCTTAAAAAATTTTTATTATTAAACATCTATTGCTGAAACTTTTTGCTATAAACATGTATTTTTATTTTATACTTTCATAATACTTCCCGTTTCATATTCTGACCCTTGTTTGGGGTTTCACTATTTTCCTATAGCTGGGAGCCTAACAGGTGCTATAACCCTGGGTCAGGGTGGACCGGGAAACAGCAATTAAGAAGTGTTTCTATGATCCTGAATACCTCCAATCTCACAATCAGAGGCCTCACTGCTAGATGTAGTTTTCTTTACTCAGGACGAGGATCCATTTGTCCTTCATCCTGAGACTACACCTGAGGATATCAACATCAATCATGAGTTTTTCCACCAAAGATGCAGGTGTTGAAAGCACTCCAGCTTTTCCTGAATTCCCAGTAAATGAGCTAAAGCATCACATGGTAATGGTAATATTAGCCATTTCCTGTTTTTTTAGCCATTTGCAATTTTCCTCTTTTACCTTATCATTATTCAAGATCTACTTTCCCAAATTGACGAAATCTGAAAGTGCCAGGTCAGGTCTCTATTGTGGACAAGGAAACATTCTCCAGTTATATACAATGATTGTCTGGCCTTTAAGCTGCTGTGAGGCCTTTGCATTGTCATATTCTTCCATTAGCTGTAAAGAGAGAATCAGCCTGTATGGTTTTATCCTGCCTCTGTGGAACTTGTCATTAAAGACCTTTCTCTCTAGGCTTACCATTAACTCTACTAATCCATTCTCTTACTGCGCTTACACCATAAAGAGCTTTACCATAAACATTCACTAACACTCAGTGAATGAATGCAGCACATTTTTCGTAACAAAAAGAAAAAGAAAAAAAACAGAAATTCTACGATAATTCTACTTTCTATATGCGCAAAGGTGGCAGCCATTTTGAAAGATCATTATGGGTAGGAAAAGAGGAGGTAACTCCATAAGTGTTTCTTGACAAGTCAAAAAAGGTAAGCACATGTAGGTTCTACACTAGCAGTAGTCATATGTAGATTTGGTTTTACATTAGAGCTTAAAAAAACAAAACAAAAAAAAAAATGTCTGTTCTTACAAGAGAGTCAAAAAGGGTAGACATATGTAAGGTAGATCTGGTTTTGTACTTGTGCAAAAAGAGTAGACTTGGGTAAAGTAAACTGATGGCCCTTTTGATGTTGACAGTTGGTGTGGTTTACACCTCTTCATAGGGATACAGTCTGCATATTCTTAATCCCAACTGCCAGGGCAGAGGTTGAAAGGGCTTAATTGCACAAGCTTATATTCTCTCAAAGTTTAATTACAATAATAACCTTATTATAATTCTGCTTATCTCTCCCTTAGTGCCTTAGTTAACACAACCTTTACGCCCTGCTAATAAATAAATAATGAACTATTCCATTTTATAAGGAAAGACAGAAAAGACATCAGAGACACTACTTGGTTTCAGTGAGATTATGAAACAAAGATAGAAGTGTTTCATGTCTGCTTCAATGAAAAATTGTTAATTTCAAATCTTTTCATTTGTACTGACTTCTTAAATGACCAGGATTCATATGTATGATTATTATTGCAATATTTTGTTAAAATTGTTAAGCTTAGATATTTAATGATGCAATAGGGGAATTTCTACGGATATTTTTTTTGCCATAGAATTTAACATGAGCTTACTCAATCATTAATTTAAGAATTAAGATTCATCAGAAAATTCAAATAGGAAAACCATGAAATTTTTACGGGTAACATTTTTTTTTTTTTAAATAAGATTTCTTGAATGTTCAGGTCAGGAGACAAAAATATACTGTTTAATAAATTAACAAAGAGTCCACTCAAATATGGGCATCCACTAAAAATACATTTATGTGATAAAATCTGTCGTACTAATAAATAAAAAAATTTGTTGCTTCTTTAGAAATTGCTTTGTTTACATTAGGATAGTTATGAGCAGTTATGAATGTTTCGAGAATCTGGGAAAGATTTATGTTTATAAGGCACTATTCAACACCATCCGATCAAGACACACTTCATGGCTTTATCAGTCTAGAGCACATCAGATCTAATGATAGTTCCTCCGGAAAAGAGGGACATAACTTTGAATAAATCCTGCTGGAGGGCATTTTTTTTTTTTTTTTTTAATAAGGTTTATCAAATATTCAGGTAGCAGATAAAAATAAACAAACATACAGTTTAATAAATAAACAAAGCATCTACTCAAATATTGGTTTCCATTAAAAATAACATTTAAGTGATAAAATCTGTCAGATTAATAGATAAAAAAATTCATTATTTCTTTAGCATTAGAAACTTTTCAAAAACCTATCTATATAAGTATAGCACAGTGTATGTGTGTCTGTCCATCTGTTTTTCAATCTCGACCAATCATAAACAACCTCAAGTAACAGGTAGTAACTACTGTAGTTATATGCAATTAAAAATTAAATAACTCATTTAAAGTTAAATATCAAGCAGTGAAAGGTTTAAAAGACAATCCTTTATTAAAGGTTTAACTTTAATTTCACTTTTTGTTGCAACTGATATCATCTAATTAAACTATAAGTAGAACATGGCATGTTGCTCATAGTTTTTTTTTTTCTTTCTCTAGCATGCGTACTGTGATGTATTCAAAATATTACATAGAAGCTAGCCTAAAGTTTGCCCAAAGGGAAACTTCTAGGCTAGTAAATAAATAAAAAGGCATGAACCTAGATTTTCAACCCAAAATTACTTTACAAAAGAAAAACATAAGTAATTAAAATAAACAAAAAATAATAAAAAAAAATAAAAAATAAAAAAAATAATATGAAGTATTTTTTTTTTCCTACCAACCTTTGGTATCTTTGTGGTGGTCTCATGATCAGGTGTAGCATGTAACAAATTTGATTTTTGTGACAAGTTGTGGCTGGGGAGTTTCTTAGAATCAACCCCTTTCCGTATACTGCTAGCAGTTGGCCGGTCTTTGGTTAAGTTGACAGTATCCATAGGATAAGAGTGACTGGAATGGGATTTTCTGTTGTAAGAAGCCATCTGCACGGGCACATGGTTCATCACATAAGATGATGACGTGGCTGAGGGTAGTGACTGTTGTGATGGTTTATTATGATGTCGCGCATTAACAGGATTGGATGAGGTCTTTGCAGAACCTGGTTTTCCAGGAACTGAATAATGCAAGCTATTCTCAAGGGGAGCTGAAGGTGCTGACGAGGCCGGATAGGGTGCTGAAGAGGATACAGACTTGCCTGGTGAGGCCAAAGGTTTTGAAACATTTAGGTGGGATGACACTTCCATGAAGCTGCTAGATTTCTCTGCTTTGGGTGTGGTTTTATTATTCTGGTAGATGTTAGTCATAAAGTTGTTCATCATGTTAGTATCCTGGAAAAAAGTTAATTGATGGTAAATAATGGAAAACTAGAAAGGATAAGAAATTGTGGAGGGCCATGATTGCTCATGTTTTGAAGGGACATGGCACATAGAAATTGTTTTTTTTTTTTTATAAATCAATTCCAATAAGATGCAAGGGACTACTGGGAGTGAAAGAGAATGAGAAGACTTTAGAAGGAACCAGAAATCCAATCCTAAACAGGAAACAAAGGATAAACCTCTACTCATCTATTCACCCCAAGCAAGATAATAATGCCACTAAGATCCAAGGGATGACTGGGAATGAAAAAGAATGAGAAGACTTTAAAAGGAACTAGAAACCCAATCCTAAACAGGAAACAAGGGATAAACCTCTACTCGTCTATTCACCCCAAGCAAGGTGATAATGCCACTAAGATGCAAGGGGCTACTAGGAGTGAAAGAGAATGAGAAGACTTTAGAAGGAACCAGAAACCCAATTTTAAACTGGGAACAAGGTGTTAACTATGCTGACTCTTGTGGTCCTACCTAGGATTGAACTCACCATCCTTGGCTAACAAATTCCTGAAGATTCCCACTCTTCAGCTTAATGGATGTTTTCTATGCAGTGGCAGTCTCCCTTTCTGCCAACATGGTAAAGTGCTGTCACTCAGTTTATTGATCAAGATCTTATTTTAACATCTGGTAGCAGAGCGTAGTTCATAAAAAAAACAAAACAAAAAAAAGACAAAAAACAAATGGCTACAAATATGAAGTTTTTAGCCCCACCAGTGCTTATCGCAGAAAATTACCATGCTTGGAAAAAAAGAAATAAAGTTCTGGGAAATGACAACAAATATAGATGTTAAGAAAAGAGCTTCAACCATGTTTTTGAGTCTAAATGGTAAAACCAGAAAAGCAATGCTGGAAATGGACCCTGATAAATTAAACATAAAGGAAAGGCATGAAGTTATTGTATAAGAAATTGGACTCTTTTATCAAGGTGGATGCTAATCAAGCAGTTCTGATGGTGTATGGAAATCTTGAAAAATATAATAGACCATAAAACACCACCATTGCTCATTTCATTACAGAATTTAACAATACGGTTCAGCAACTCTGTGAGTAGAAGGGATAAACCTCTACACCTGTCCAAGATGTTAAAATTTTAGAGTCCAGACAGAGATGTTAGAAGTATAGAGGTAAAGTTAGGTACCTCCACGAAATCGCTAAAAAAAGAGCATAGCTTGATGAAAAAGACGCCAAACTTGCCAAAAACTAAATTTTATTGTCTAAATGCACATGTACATAAAATTATAGTATTTTATGTACAATTCTGATAAAATTTCATAAGAAAGGTACCTATAAATTAATTAGATACCTTTCTTAAGAAATATGAAATTTAATGTCACTCTTAACAGTTTTATTTTAATTTCTTTACAATATATTTCCCATAAAGCATCATAAACGTAAAGGTGAAAGCTAAGTACAAAAAAAAAAAAAAAAAAACCGCTGAAAGTTTTCAAGTTAAAAATAACAGGGTAAATAATTTGTTCACGTAAATGTAAATTATTTCACTTTTCTCCTTCCGTAGAACAAATTAGCCTCATGGAATTCGTAAATATATCATTCATCACATGTCAAGAGACGCGAAAAGTTTCTGACCTGCTTTGTTTTATTTTCAAATTACATCTTTTTGGCCCAAAAAGCTAAGTTAAGTTTGGTTCAAAATATTTTAAATAAACATTATAATTTCTGATTTTCTTAAAATAAGTTTTGAAAAATGATAATTGATATTTAAAAAATTTCAAAGTCAGATTTCCATTTTTTTTAAAATGGAAAAAAATGGTCAATTTTGCTGACTCAAAAAAAACTAGATTTTAAACGAAAATTTCGGACGTGCTAGGAACGATTAAAAAATGGAAAAAAATACCCCAAAAATACTTTGACCTTTCCTCTTAATAATAACAAACATTTAGACGATAAAATTTTGTTTTCGTCAAGTTTAGCGTCTTTTTCATCATGCTATGCTCTTTTTTTTAGTGATCTCGTGGAGGTACCTAGGTAAAGTAGACTTTAGAATAGTAATTCTCAATGTTGGCCTGAGAAATATTTGAAATTTGTCTGGAGATACAAGGAGCAGTGTACATGTCACATGGAATTTCTATGTGATTATGTGGGCCTGAAATTTTTAACAACAAAAAAAAAAAAAAAAAAAAAAAGAAAAGAGAAAAAAAAAAGAGAGAAAAAAGAAAAGAGAAAAAGAGAGAAAAAAGAAAAGAGAGAAAAAAGAAAAGAGAGAAAAAAGAAAAGAGAGAAAAAAGAAAAGAGAGAAAAAAGAAAAGAGAGAAAAAAGAAAAGAGAAAAAGAGAGAAAAAAGAAAAGAGAAAAAGAGAGAAAGAAAAGAGAAAAAGAGAGAAAAAAGAAAAGAGAAAAAGAGAAAAAAAGAAAAGAAAAGAGAAAAAAGAGAAAAAAAGAAAAGAAAAGAGAAAAGAAAAAAAAAAAAAGAAAAGAGAAAAAAAGAAAAGAAAAGAGAAAAAAAGAAAAAGAAAAGAGAAAAAAGAAAAAAGAAAAGAAAAAAGAAAAGAAAAGAGAAAAGAAAAGAGAAAAGAAGAAAAGAGAAAAAAAAAAAGAGAAAAAAAAAAAAGAAAAAGAAAGAGAAAAAAAAAAAGAGAAAAAAGAAAAGAGAAAAAAAGAGAAAAAGAAAAAGAAAGAGAAAAAAAAAAAAGGAAAAGAAAAAGAAAAAGAAAAAGGAAAAAAAAAAAAGAAAAGAAAAAAGAAAAAAGGAAAAGAAGGAAAAAGAAGGAAGAAGGAAAAAGGAAAAAGAAGGAAGAAGGAAAAAGAAGGAAAAAGAAGGAAGGAAAAAGAAGGAAAAAGAAGGAAAAAGGAAAAAGGAAGAAGAAGGAAAAAGAAGAAGGAAAAAAAAAAAAAAAAAGAGAAACACTAATTTAGAAGGAAGAACTGAAAAGCCAAATGTCTAAAAGGAAACAAGTAATAAACTTCTACTCCTGTCCAAAAGACCAAGACGGAGTGTGAGTGCGATTGACCCTAGAATCGAAGAGGTTAATATTGTAGCATTCAGGGAAGCATCCATGTGGGAGGCTGTTCTACAAAGCAGCAGTTCTTGGGAAAGTGCCGAATGGAACTTCCTCCTTACAATTGGAATACAAAGGAAATTAGTGTGATTCGACTCTGTAGATGTAGCATGGCAGGTTTTAGCTGTAAAGGTCTAAGCTGATGGAACTAAAGAATCTTCCTCATCTGGACATATGCCATGGAAATAGTGATAGAGTAGAAATAGGCCTGTGATGCTGCACCTGTGGGGAAAGAAGTTGCAGAATGGAAAATAAGGAATAAATGATTTTGAACTCTATCAAAGCAGGAAAGTGAGGACTGAATAATTCTTACCCAGAAATAACAGCCATTCTTCATTTTTGGTCTAATCTGACTCTTGTGTCTATTTAGACAATAACTCTATAAACGATGATTTTCTAATGAAGATCACCTGGGCATTTTCATACTGCCCTTGGATAGGAGAACTGAGACATTCCCTGATGTCGGCAGCATATTTTTTTTTATTTTATTTTTTTTAGAAAGAGGTAAATAATAATGACTTAGAGATAGAAGTCTTACTAATTAACCCATAGCTGGGAGTAGAACATCCCCACTAAGGCACTCATCCAAATGCCATATCTACTATTACAATTTGTGGTTAAAAGCTGCCCAATCCTCCCTTTGCATCCATGACAGTTCAAAACCGTCTACGCGGTTTTATTTTACACACATGAAATGCCACAAACCTCTAACTACTTTATCACTGTTTTCATAGCAAATGTTAGAACAAACTACATTCCTTAGTTTTACCAGTTTAGACCTTTACGGTGAGGACATCCTGTGCCACATATACAGAGTTTTGAATCCTTCCCTTTTGTATCCCATTGGTAAGAAGGACATTCCATCCAGACAGTTTCTCTCTCGGAATAACTACTTTGTGAAACTGACAGCTGGGAGGGATGCTTGCACGATAGCTACAATCATAACTGTTTCAAGTCAAAGGTGAACCATTATCTATCCATAATTTGCACTTCTTACATCCATGCAAAAACCCTCTTCAGTGACCCTGCACTTTGAGTGGCTCTTAGGCCTTGTACTTGTATTAACCGAACAATAGTAAATAAAAAAAAAAAAAAAAAGCAACAAAATAAGATGAAAGAAAAACTGTGTAAAAACTGAATTAAGATATTAATAGATTCCAATAATAAAATCTAAATACCTTGTACAATACGTAGTCCGTGTTGTCAGAAGAAAAACTTTTGTCTGTTGTATCACTTTCGATGTCAAGGCAATCTTCCTTGTATCTGAGGAAAGAAAAAGTTTGAAATAATATCTATTATTATTTTTATTATTTCCTTTCATTTCATTACTGGTGTATACTCATTTCTTTTCAGGTCCCAACCAGAGATCTAAGCTTAGAAATGACATCATGACATTTTTCACTAATCATTTCTGTAAAAAAAAACCCCAAAAAAACAAAAAAAAACACCACACCTAAGGTCACAGACATTTTACATAGATAAAAGCTAATGTGTAGGCTTTACTTGTAAGTACAATTTTTTTATCATGGGCTAGTAGGAATCCTTTCAATGAGTCTATCAGAATCTTCTCCAATCAAATTGAGGGCTCTGACTGGAATTGTTGACATTCTCATGTGCCACATTTGAGATTTCGATTTCATGGTCCTTGCACTTTGATAGTTTTTTTTTTTTTGAAGATCTTCAAAGATACATTACGATCTGCAGGGACTGCCATGTCAATAAGAAGATTGATTCTGCGTTTATGGTCGCTGATCACAAGTCTACTTGCTGCAATTGTACTAGAGTTGTACTTTTTAAATTTTGATTAATTTTAAAAATACTTGTCCACAGATACCTACATTTATTGTATTTGCAATCTTACTGGTCATTTCAGCGACTGACGAATCAAAGGACAATCCAAACAAATGTCAATAGTGTAAATAGTTACAATACCTCATCTTAGAAATATAGAGAACTTGCCCTGTCCATGCTGTTCACAGTATTCATTAGTAGAATTACATCTTTTGCTTCAAGTTTATTCTACATCTGTAAAGAAGTTGTTTGACATTCACTGCCAGACTAGAGATCAGATATCACATAGGTGTCCAGCATGTTTTTTTTTTGTTTCCAATGTCAAATTTTCAGTCATTTGCACTACTCAGATGGATGTGCAGGCGGTGTAATGGTTGGCAGATTGGATTGTGAAATTGGTGAGAGCAGTTCAAACTCTAGGCTAGCTACATTCAATGCTCTTGGGAAAGGTAGAAATTCATCTTTTTCCCCACCAGCTATGGGTTAAGTAATAAAGCAGATTGGATTCTTGTGTTTCTGGAGGGACTGATATGTTTAAATAACAACCACATCTCTACAACAAAATACACCAGACCCACAGATGGTCATTGCTAAATTTCAATAGTTGCCACCCAACCAACCTAAAAAAAAAAAAAAGAATAATAATCTACTGCCAATGTTTATGGATAAAACGTACCTGTTAACAAAATGGAGATTACAAATAACACATAGGACAACTATTCAATTACTTTCTCAATAGGAATCAACCACTTAAAACTATCAAAAAAAAGAAAAAAACAACCCTCAGTCTAGGAAAAGGAAAACTGAATTCCCAAACCTGGATAGATGGAGGAATCTTTTAGTGTGGAAACTTGTAGCAGTCTAAAGGAACGAAAGTCCCAACAGAAAACTAAGCCTTCCTCAGAGTACGGAAGTCGGTCATGGGAGTCGATCACCACACCTTGTGGAACAATTCAATTACAGAAACCTCACTAAAAGACTTTGCATACCACAAGGCACCAGATAGATAGCACATGACCAAAATATTAGGTTGGTGCAAAAATAATGACGTAAGAAAGTTGTTTTTTGACGTTAAAAAAAAACAAAAAAAAAAACGACATTATTACGTCATTATTTTTGCACCAACCTAATAGTTGAATTTCTGTACTTGCTTGATTTTGACATCCCCAGTATGTAGCTCATACCTTGCACTTTTTTTTTTTTTTTACTAACAGCATATGTATTTTATCTTTTTACTGTCCTTTCTTGCTTTTTTTTTTTATTACTGTTTTGTCAAAGTTCTTTCAGCTTTAATTCTGTTGTTAAGTACTTTTTCTTATACCGAATGAATTATACATTTATGGGAAGACCGAAGAATGTATCAGTCAAGATCCAATGATAAAGGATGCTAATGTTAGTCCGATTAATTTGTGGAACAAAAAATATGATATGGATCAAGCATGGACTGCTTTATGGCGCACTCAGTGTGGTACAGACTCACAAGCAATGTATTATGAAAGTGACATATTGAGAAGAGTAAGAGATCTTTATTTCTGTAAAGACATGTCAATTGGTATTACTTACCTGAAGCCTGTACTTTTGCTAGCAAGGTGCTTCTTTTCCAGCTGACTTGTAAAATCTTCTGTCTCCTCCGAAGACTGTTCATCATTGCAGATTACTTCATAGGCTTCATAAAGTAGAAACATTGTAATAATAACAACAAAGACAAGGACAATAGTCCAAGTGCAAATAATGTAAATTAGTAAGTTCTTTAATTCTGGACTTGGTAGTTTTCAAACAGTGACCATTCCCAGATAATTATATGAAAAAATGATAGTTGCTCTTAAAAATACTGAAATGTCTTCAACAGACTGTTAGGTCATGAAACCTGATTTAACCTCTCACTACAACTAACTGACTTTATCTGAGATGACTTCCCATCACTTCCAATGTTGCATGCTCTTTTTTGTTGATTTATGTCCCTTGCTCTCTGTTTTACACAATATCTCTGTTCCCCCACTCAATATCTGTAACGACATGCACCAGACATGGGCACAATCATGCGTGTGTGCATGACACACAGAATATATAGGCATAATCAAAAACCAACAAGAATGACACAAGTCCAAGCTAAAATACATTTTCAAAAGATTTAAACAGGAATTTAAATTTATTCAGAGAATACAGTTTTCACAGAGGACTGTATACAAATCTCCCACAATCCTAACCATAGCAAACTACTAGGCTAAAATTATCAAATTTCTTACAGGAATATAACACATGGGGTGGGGAACTCCGCCAGAGGACTGAAACCCACTCCATTGTTTATTTCCTATTACATTAATAAAGGACACAGACATATCCAAAAATTCTGACTTTAAAATCTTTCTCTTTGTGAGTTTGTAAAAATCTTTTGGAGAATAATTTACTGATACAAGTTTTGCTAATTAACCCATAGCAGGAGGGTAAAGATGTGGATTCATGCCTTTCTCAAGGCTATTTGTGCATAAGTGAATATAACAAACCCAACTGGAATTGGGATTCAGCTCTCTGATTTCCAATTCAGAACTTTTATCTATTATACCACCTACCCACACATCCAAACTTACAGCACCTGGTGTTTCTAACTGGTCACCCATCTAGTTCAACTAGTATATATTTAGCTATATTTATGTGCATATAGCTACATGCCTCAGTTTCACCAGTTCAGACCTTCACAGCTAGAATCCGTCATGCTATGTACATACAATCAACTCATCTCTATATTCCATTGATAAGGAGGAAGTTCTATTTAGACAGTTTCTTTCCTAGAACTGTTATTTTTGGAACAGACTCCTGAAAGGATGTTTCTTTAATCCCTATGATCTTAACCTCAATTCTAGGGACAACCATTATTTATTTTATGGATCCTTGTTATATGTACTTCTTACTTCCCCCTTTACACAACAATCTCGTTAAGTAACCCTCTACTTTGAGTGGCTCTTGGGCCTTGTATTGGGTGAACAAGGGTATAAAAGAATATTTTTTTTTTTTAAATTGCATTACTAACCTTTTTCTACACTCTTTAAAAAAGCAGTTCTTTTTTTCCTGGCATAATCACTGCAAAAAAGAAGAAAAAAAAGAGCACATTTGTCATTTAAATGCAAAGAGAAATATTAAAAGGGAGTCTTACTATTTTTGGACTGATTGACACTCATTGGGTCATTTAATGTCAAGTACAAGTCTTATTGGGCAAAAGTAACAATAAAGGGTCATAAACACTACGTAAGTGTCGGTCCAGTTTACATTGGGAGGGGGGGATCAAAAATGTTAAGGCTGTGCCCAGTTTACATAGGGGTGGGCTGGGGGGAATCAAAAACGCTATTCAATTTGCTGCCAGAGTAAGAAATTTCTCACAAGATATATGGTCAGCTGTTCCAGGACAATCATTGCTTCCATTGCCATTTCCAAATTGTTTAGAATCACTATCAAATTCATTGCCAGAGTAAGAAGTCCTTTCTTACAAGATATTTGGTAACTGTTCCAAAGTGCTAAAATAACATTTTCAATTTTTGTATTCCTTGTCAGTCAACTTCGGTTTGAGATTTTTGTTATTTTACTATGCTTTCTAAATCGTTAGTACTTTGTAGTTATAGGAATTCTTGTGTGTGAATGTTACGTACCTGTACATTATCTGCAATTCTTTGGCCATGGTACCAACACTGAAATTCTTGTGGTTTGCATGACTAGCCAAATACTGTTAAAAACAATAAGCAGCATTTAAATAGAGTTTAATCAAGAGACAGTAAAACAATATACATCCAAGCAATAAAGTATTCTTTAGCATTTGATAGCCAGTCTAACTTGGCTTATCAAACACTGTATGACACTGAGGCGATGAAGTAATTAAACATTAATTCTAAACAGGAAAAGAGAAGAGTTAACCTGAAATAAAATATGGGCTGGGAGAGAGAGAGAGAGTGGATAAATATTCCTCCTCTCCTAAAAGTTTATTTTTCTTGTCCATTTAGAGTCTGACATGTGGACAAAAACAGATTCAGAGAAATGTCTTTATCTCTTTCGTGAGAAATCAGAGAGATGCATATATTTTTCATTGATGAAAATGGAAACACAGAATGAACCTTTTTTTTTTTTTTAGGGCTGAAGTTATGCAAAATCAATCATGTCGTGCCAAGAGGGTGATCTGGTTTGAGTTTTCCCTGAAGATGGCAACTGGCCCAGGGATGGAAAACAGAGAGTCTCTTTGTTGAGAATTTAGGTAAACAAATATATTTTCATTGATAAAAACAGATTTGGGAAATATTTTTTATCTGTCGCTTAGAAGGTTAAAATGAGAAGGAATTTCTCTTAACAGGTCAGATGTACTGTACAATTAAGGCTGGAGTCATGAAAACATTTTATCATCAGTCGTCTGGTTTGTATCTTTGCTGGACAAAGATGGTTCCAAGAAAATGGAAGATTCAGAGAATTAAAATTAATGGCTGGAAGGGAACTCTACCTTCTCCTACACATTTTAAAAATTAGATTTGTCACCAAGAGAGTTATGCATGTCCTGGGAAGTGGGCTGAGCTAGAATACTGAAAAGGAGGGTGGAAAGGGAAGAGTTTGGGCCCTGCCGGTGCAAAGTAGTACTGAGAATTATGAGGTAAAGCAAGTTGGAGTTCAGGGAGAAGCAATCCCTGTGACTACTCCCAGAGAAGGTGTATAATTCTCCAAATTTGGAAAATTGATTAAGAAAGTAGAAATAGAGACCAAAGAAAACTTGAATTAATGAAAAAGAATCAATGAACCCCCAGAACTCTTCAGTCCTATGCCAATTTTGGGCCGGTGCATATAAGTTATTAAATTAGTTTTGAAATACAGCAAAGTATTTTGCTTATTGGAACTATTAAAATTTAATCTATTTGCTTGAAATTTAAAACTAGAACAAAATCTTCAAGAAAGGTAAATTTTAATTTAAAAAAATTTTTTTAAACCTTACGTATCATGTTTCTTTTAAAAGGTACCCATTTAAATTGATTGGAGCATTATGTATCACTTTAAACTGTATCTCAGGAACACACCAACTGACAAGTTTTAGTATTCTTCTTTTATATGCTGTTTCCCTTCCAGATGTAGGCGATCATGGCTCTCCACGTCTTCCTATCCCCTGTAGTTCTCAATATGTCTTGTCTTTTTGCTACTTCTCCCAAACCCTGTTCTGTCATCCACTTGCTGAAGCCCGCTAGGTATGCCATGCAATGCTTTCCATCGTCTCTTTTTCCCTTGTCTGCTCTGTGAGTATCAGATTCTTCAAGCCCTCCTTTCTCATTACGTGTCCCAGAAATTTCAGCTGCCGCTTCCTGATGTTAAGTATAAGCTTCCACCTTGTTTGCATTCTCTCCAAAACCTCATCGTTGTTCACATGTTATCCTTAGCATTCTTATGTAGAACCATACCTTGGTTGCCTCAAGTCTCTTCATCTTTGAGGAGATTGTCCAACATTCACTGCCATAAAGGAGGACAGATATCACGTAGCAGTTCAGTACTCTTTTTTTTTGTTACCAAAGAAATCCTTCTGTCTTGTAATACTCTGCCTAGCTTTTGGAATGCGTCTTTGGCCATCCCAATACGTCTTCAGATCTCAGCATCGTACTTACCGACCTCTGTCAGAACACTTCCCAGATATTTAAATTTCTGCACCTGCTTCATTTTAGTGTTCCCAACCTGTAAATCGCATTTCAGGCTCATCTTTTAACTGATGACCATGCATTCTGTCTTCTTGTAGTTTATGCTTAGTCCCTTCTTCTCACTCTCCTTTGCTTCCTTCTGTAGGAGGTTTTGTAGTTTCCTTTCTCTGTTTGCTATCAGCACTGTGTTATCTGTGTACCTTATGTTGTTAAGATTGTGACCACCAATGATGAATCCTGGTAGGCGTTCCAGTTCTCTCAGAATTGCCTTGCTGTATAGGTTGAATAGGTCTGGTGAGAAGACACATCCTTGCCTTATGCCCCTTTCTATTTTTATATATCTGCTGAATTCATTGTGTGTGTGTGTGTGTGTGTGTGTGTGTGTGCATGCTGTTTGCTGCCAGTTTAGGTTCTTGATTATTCTAATATGTCTCCCAAATATATCAAGGTTGCTGAGCAGTTCCAACAGATTTTTTTGGCGTACTTGTCGAACACCCTTGCATAGTCTATAAAACATAGGTGCACATCCTTTTGCATTTGCATTGCTCTTTCTGATAACACTTGTGGACACTGGCATGTAGACCTTTTCTATTTCACAGAATAGCTTCCCCACATTTTTTGAATTTACAGTCAGTCAGTTATGTACCATGCATGATACACGCTTAGGTGATCATGTATCTTTCGATACATGACTGACGAGGCAGATTTTTCCCCCGCAGTAGGTTGCCATTTCTTTCTGCAGTAGACCAGTTGCCATCCAAGGCTATAAAATCCGGTCTGTCTTGCTGCTGAAGTGTTTGATAAACAACAAATAACGATGTTGCATTTTTTAAGCTTCAGGAAAAATAAGTGATTTAAATCAAATGCTAGGAATTTTCTTTTTGTATTCTGTAATTCATTTCATGACCCCTGGGTACTATTTTTCATGAAATTAAAACAGTTGAAGTCCGCTTCTTTTTTTTGGGGGGTGGGGGACAAAAAAAAAAAAACTATTTTATTTTAAAGCCATATTTTTTGCAAATAAAATACCAATAAATTAGAATCGGGCTGACTTTTGAAAGCATTTGTCATGATTTTTTTTTTTTTTTTTAGTAACTTTAAAGTTTAGTTAAAAAAAAAAAAAAAAAAAGGGAAGAGACACATTTCTTTTTTTGGGAGGCGGGGGAATAATGAGAGAGAGAGAGAGCGAGAGATTTTTTAAACCGCGACTTGTCAGAATAAAAAAAATATTGATTTTAAAATTTTACAAGATCTTGTTCAGCAATAGTAAAATTGTAATTGATGAGGCCTTTTTTTTTTTTTGTCGGTACGTACGTACGTTCCAAGCTTAAACGTCCGAATTCTACTAAGTCTCTAAAATTTAAATTTAATATCATTTTTATTTTTAATTCTTTAAAAGTTTACATAAGTTTAAAATACAAATCCGATTTTTGTTACTAAATAAATGGATAAAAAAAAATCATAACGAAAATGTTACTTAACCAAAAAAACACTACAATAAAAAAAGCACGAATATTTTTAGAATGAGTAACTAGAAGACTATTAGAATTTCTGAAATACCAAATTAATTTTACAAATGAATACTTACTAAACAGTTTACTTTAACACAATAAAAAAAAACTGTCTTAATTTATACAGTTCAAGTCTTAGATAAATCAAATGGTAATGTGATTTCCAAACATTTTTTTTCATTCAAGAAACAAAACGATCGAAGTTGGTTGAAAGCGAAAACAATTTTAAATTATGGATAAGACATATTTTAATTTAAAACAAAAATTTTACATTCAGATGTCCTGTCTTTTTTTTTTAAGTATTTTAAATTCGTAAAAAATACATATGAAGGTTTAGTTGTAAAAAATAAATAAAGTCAGGCTTTACTTGTCGACATGACTTTCGTTCTTAGGAAAATTCTTAAGGTTAGTGAATTTTAAAAAGACTATAAAAGATGAACGGCAAGGAATGAAAAACAAACTGAAAGAATGTACAACAGGAGCTGAGTATAAGTAAGAAGTTTTTCTTTTTTAAAGATTGCAGAAGTTTTAGTTCGAAAAAAAAGCAACCAAAAACGATGGCACGTGTTAAAAATTTTAAAGGTAAGAAAAAGAGAAAATATATTAGATTTCTTAGATAAACATAAAACAATGTACTAAAAGCACCAAGATTTTTCTATCAGACATTTATCAATGCTTCGAAAACAAGTATAAACAAAACAAAAGAGGAAATTTATGCTAAAAACGTGGAAGAACACGTGTTTCTATTTTTGAAGCGCGAAGATTAAAATAATATTTAAAAAAATGAGTTAACATCATTCCATTGGATAAAACTATTTCTGATAATTCCGAAGTTGCTAATTTACCTGACGCATCCGTGGGACAAGTTTTACATCCACTAAATAATAAGAATCTTTGTTAGAAGCTGATTTCTTTTTCGAACTCATTTTCAAGTTGGTGCTTTGAAATGGGTGTTAAGCGTAATTATGTCCCTTATTTAAAAATTACCTCCCTTTTCAGTGTTTATTACCTCCACTTGAACTCGACGAGAGTAAGTGAAATTTGAAATCTCTTCTTTCAGAAACTACGTGAATAAGTCCTGTAGTCCGACCTTCTTTTAATCCGACCATAATTCCAAGAAAAAAAAATAGTTTTCGGAATGGCACATGGAGGCACTTGAAATTCCCGCTGCTGCTGTTGAATTACGCCTGTGGATGACAATAGATGGCGTTACGGCGTGTACCTGTCCGACATTTCGGAATTTTTTTTTTTAAAATACCGAACTTGTTTTAAATTCCTGGATTTTTGTTAAGATTCTTATTTTGTTGACCATATTTAACCGTAATCATGGCCTCTAATAGAGAACCAGGTGCCGCTGGTGGCACCACCAAACGTAAGCACAACACGATATCTATTCAGGACAAGGTTGAAGTACTGGAAAAATTGGACCGCGGAGTTCCCGTGCGTCAGCTGTGTGAAATGTATGGCATTGGAAAGACCACAGTTGTTGATATAAAGAAACAAAGAGAGAAAATATTGAAATTTTATACGAATAGCGATTCCAAAAAACAAATGAGCATGAGGAAAACTATGAAAGACAGCAAAAGTACTGAGCATGATCGGATAATGATAGAATGGTTCAGGCAACGGCGAAATGAAGGGGTTGATTTGTCGGGTCGCATGATGAAATACCAAGCTAAATTATTCCATGAGGAACTGAAGTTAGAACATAAATGTGATTATAGTGACGGCTGGCTGAACAGGTTCAAAAAGCGTCACGGAATATCTCTGCAAAAATGTGGAGAAAAACGGTCAGCGAATCAAGAGGAGCCCAACGAGTTGGTTGAAGAATTCTCGAAATACGCGGCCGACGAGAACCTTAATCTTGAAGCGTGCAATGCCGACGAAACCGCAATATACTGGCGATGTACACCAAGGAAACCCTTGGTAGCTGATGACGTCGAAGCACCAATGGGGTTCAAAAGGGATTCTAGTGATGAAAATCTGACTGAGTGGGTACAAGTTCACAACGAAACGCCTTTTGTCTATCACAGGAAAGACGCTGAAAATCTGGACAGTTCTATGATGTATGAAATTGATGATGAAGCTAATTATGTCGACGTAGCTGCCGGGTTTAATATCGACAGGTTAATAGAACTGATGACTGAATTAATTAAAGGACTAGGGCAACATTCCTTCGTGACAGAACAGGAATTAATGAACTTCCACTTGATGCACGAAAAATTACACAGGGAAAGATCAAAATGTCTGATGCGACAACTTCGGCTTGAGGACATGATTAAAAAGGGAACCAAGAAAGCTAATTTCATCAACAGTGAAAGCCCCATGTCTTCAAGTAAGTATGGGGATGAAATCGACAAAAAAACATTACAAACAATGTTAAAAAACGATTTTTAATGTGCATGAAATCCGTGAGTTGTTACTTCTAATGACATTTTTAAAGAGATCACAGCCGTAGATGGGTTTATCTTCTTGCTCGGAATTGAATTTATGATGGTGAAGGTAAACTAAAAAGAAAAGAAAAAAAAATAAGTGGAAAGGTAATTTTTGTAATATTACTGTTCACACCATTTCCAATTTTTATTTATTAATTTTCATATGATCGAAATTTTGAAACGTTATGACAGTCAAAAGCTGATTCACTTTAAATTTAATAGCGATTTTTTTTCACTAACAGAAATTCGTAAATTATTAGGTTAATTAATTTTTTACCGTCCATTCTAAAAAATTTTTAAAAAATCGTTAATCTCTCTTATGGCAGGTCACATTTGCAGTTTGATATTACGATAAAAAAAAACCTATGATTGCATGAGCTGTGTCATTTTCTTTCCTCCACATGTTCCGTAGAAAAAAATATCAGTGCTATTTGAAATGAATGGATGTAAAAACGAAATGAAGTAATTTTTATTTACACATAAAAATATATGTATATATATTTATTTACATTAAATACCAAAATTTAATTTTTTTTCTTTTATTTATTTAAGAAACCGCTGTATTTATTTATTTTGAGAACAAATGAAGTATTTCACTTAAATTTTATTTTTAAATATGTTCATTAAGAGTAAAACCAAGAACATCTCTGTTTATCACAAAGGAACACATTTTGTACAGGTAATCAGAAATGTGGATGTTTTAATGTCTAATGACTTAAAATGAGAAATCGGATAGGTGAGTATAAATTCCACTTGAGTTTTTATATTTACTTCCACACAAATACCCTTGGGAACATATGAATCCATCTCCCCCCCGCCACCAACTGGGTTAAATATTTGTATCTGGAAAACCATTGTTATTCTCAAGAAATTGTTAATGCAATATTCACTTGCAAAAAATGAATTATTCTTACAATTCAAAATAACATTTGTGACAGCCAATGGTTGACAAGCTGTAAAAAATAAAATAAACCTAAATTAATCAAACAAATATAGAAAAAGTTCTCCCTTTTTGTTGTATGGTAGGCTATAAGGACAATGTGATGTTTTTTTTTCAGTTACCAACTACCAAAGGAAAATTCTTATGTGCTGTGTCCTCTCAGGATAATCAACTGTCAAATAAGCATAATAATACAGTTCTCCTTAAATGTGGAAACCCTTATCCTCCAGGCCTATGATAGTGATGTGCCCCTATAGTTCTCCTCAAAAGAGGTAACCCTTAACCTATAGGCTTGTGGAATTGACAATCTCTCCTGTTCCTTTCAAATGTAGCCCTTGATTTCCAGGCCTTTAGATTTGACAAGCCCTACAGTTTCTGTGAATATGGTATCTCCAGTCCTGTGGCACTGACAAGCATTACAATTTTTTAAAAATTCAAGAATTTGCCAAATTAGATGCACTGTTAGGGCAAGATGATATTGCTTTTTATTTTTTTTATTTTTATTTCTGTTTTGTGTAAATTTATTAAAGAACGGTATAATTTATATTTGTTAATGTAAAAAACTCTCCATATCCTGTAATTTATAAAAATTTGCAATTTTATAGCCGATTCATTTTGGACCAGGGGTTCCTAACCATTCTTTTTTTTGCTCTGTACTCTTCATGTACCCACCAAGATTAAGGATCAAAAATTGATTTTAAAAAAGTGTTTTGTTTGAATTGTTAGTGAAAAGTATACTTTCACTTGTTTCTCTTCAAGGTTCATAAGATATGTATTAATTCTGTGGACATGTCAGCATAATAGATTGTGAAATGTTCAAGCCTGTTTTGTTGGCGCTAAGTTTATTGATTCCAAGCAGAGATTTAAGCAATTGCACAAGTTCAGATGTTTTAAAATTTGATCTGTGATTTGATTTAATCTCCGACAATGCTGACAATATTGACCCACATTACAATATTTGAGTAGCAGGTTCAGCAATCTGGTTATATGAGCTTCACATCCAAAACCAAATGTCATGTCAATTCTCAAAAGAGGCTTGTAGACTCATTATCTAGGAGACTTACCAACTCCTCTTGCATACCTGCCCCAGCCTCTAACAACTGAGCCTTTGCACAAAAAAGGAAATTAATGATACACACGCAGGTTGCCTTATTTATCATTTTTTTTTCACATATTATTACTTGAAAAGTGTATGTGTACCCCTCTGAACCTCCTATGTCCCACCTGAGAAGTTCTAGTGTACCCTACTTATGGTCCTGTGTACCCTACTCATTCTACTATATTCCTTTTGAAAAGTGACCACCTATCTGCCTTTTAAGATGTACAAGTGTACTTCATTCATACTCCTATGTACCCCTTCAAAACCGAAAGTGTACCCTGAACCTTTTGAGAAGTGCAAGTGTACCCTACTCATCTTCTTATGTAACCCTTTGAAAGTGCAATTGTTCCCATCTAAACCTCATATGTGCCCCTTGAAAAGTGCCTGTATACCCTACTCATTCTCCTATATACCCTGTCAAAAGTGAAAGTGCACCTATTTGAACCTCGTATATGCCAATTGAGAAGTGCAAGTATACCCTTCTCATCATCCTATGTACCCCTTGAAAAGAGCAACTGTACCCATCTGAACCTCCTACTTACCTCTTGTTGTCCCTCTTTTTACCCCTTCAAAAGTGCAAGTGTACACATCTGAATCTCCTATGTGCCTCTTGAGAGATGCAAGTATACCCTTCTCATCATCCTATGTGCCCCTTGAAAAGTGCAAATCTACCTATCTCAGCCATTGTACCCCTTGAGAAGTGCAACTATACACTTCTCTGTCTGTTATGTAGCCCTTGAAGTGTAACTGTGCCCATCTCAGTCCCCTATGTACCTCTTGAGAAATGCAAGTGTACTCATCTTCATATGTACCCCTTGAGAAGTACAGCTGTACTCATTTCAGCCCCTGATATACCTCTTGAAAAGTTCAATTGTACCCTTTTCAGTGCCCGATGTACCTCTTGAGAAGTGCAAGTGTACTCATCTCCATATCTTGAGAAGTTCAGTCTACTCCTCTTAGCTTCCCATGTGCACCTTGAAAACTGTGTGTTCCCCTCCAGATACGTACCCTTTGAGATGTATACACATAAACCCTCAGAGTACATGTACCATAGGTTAGAAACCCCCTTTCTATATTGTACAGAAATCTTTATGAAGGATATAATAAACTCTTATACAATATTTAATTCAATGGCCTTTGTCACATTTATGTTTTATAGTGATCTATGGGTGTTGAGACAGATAAGTTAGATTTACATATCAACACTTGTTGGGATATTTAAGGTGCAACTTTTTTATGGGGCACCCAGTAAGGATCAAAATCGTTACTGATGAGTAATGATCAACAAGTTTAATCTCACAAACCATTAGACCATGTCAAGTTACCTAGAAATGATTTTAATATGAAAATGCATTGGAAATGACTTTAATATGAAAATATATTGGAAATGATTTTACTATGAAAATGCATTGGAAATGTTTTCTCTATGAGAATTTATTGAAAATGATTTTA